GAGTGATTTGTTTCTTACCTGTGTGTTAACGATAGCTTGAAGGCTACATCAATAACTGTTACCTTTGGGTTCAAAGGAGTGATTTGTTTCTTACCTGTGTGTTAACGATAGCTTGAAGGCTACATCAATAACTGTTACCTTTGGGTTCAAAGGAGTGATTTGTTTCTTACCTGTGTGTTAACGATAGCTTGAAGGCTACATCAATAACTGTTACCTTTGGGTTCAAAGGAGTGATTTGTTTCTTACCTGTGTGTTAACGATAGCTTGAAGGCTACATCAATAACTGTTACCTTTGGGTTCAAAGGAGTGATTTGTTTCTTACCTGTGTGTTAACGATAGCTTGAAGGCTACATCAATAACTGTTACCTTTGGGTTCAAAGGAGTGATTTGTTTCTTACCTGTGTGTTAACGATAGCTTGAAGCAATGTGTTCTCCGGTAGACTCATGTGCTGAATTGAGCCAAAATCTTCTACCAGGTAGATTGGGTGTCTAAGACCACAATGGCGAAGTCGAAACTAAAGGAATCAAGGGAGAACAATACATTGCTCAGCATACCTTAGATATTTTATATATTAGCAAGATTACGTTACGTTTACGCCAAAATACCTTTTGCTCATGGAAACGACCGTCAATGATACTTCCACAAAGATCATCCATTCTTTTCCTTTCCACAATGTAATCCAGGATAAGTTCTCGAGCCACAGGTACTGACAAACAACCTTTAATTTCACAGCAAAACACGCAGGTAAGATGGATATTCATCCAGTGCCAAGAAACATAAAGAAAAGCTGTTGTACATGTACCTGGTACGGGAACAGGTCTTTCACGAGCCACCCAAAGAAAGTCTCCGAGCTGCAGTTTGCGCACATCAAACTGTACTCCTGAGAACACATTCAAAGTCTATCGTTAAATCCTCATTGTTAAAAAAGTGCAGAGTAGTTTTAAAGCAATTTGTTCCTGCAATTTAAAGTACTTCTCATGTTTATGGAAACTATTTGTATTGTGAGAGGTGAACATCCAATTTAAGTGACGGTTAATGGTCCATGGAACGTGCGTTCGGTGACAAATCAAAAAACTCCCCCTAAGAGTTAACCTTAAAAAATATAGTAAAGATGCTAAAATAAGTTGTAAAGCCGTTGAGATAAGAGCACGCATTCGATAGTTTTTGGGCGCTGTGTTTTTCTGAATTACGTTGGTCAAGGTTTATGTTTTTCTGTATTACACCTGTTTAGTCAATTATTTCTCTCTCTATCTCTCTCTCTTTCTGCAAAACTCCTCATAAACATATTTGGTATTTTGTGCGAGCCAACCTTACAAAAGCTACACATGTAACATCACTGCCATGATATATGCTTTGTGAAATAAAGTAGGATCAGATACCATTGTTCTTAAGTTCAGGGATAAGAGCGTCTTTCCTTGAGTTGACTTCTGCTGTTGTCTCATTCACATCTACACACAGTATGACATCAAACGTTCCTGCAAGAAAACAAAATCATTTAAAACCCAAGTATAATTTGTTACTCAATTTAAACATTTTAGTTGTCCTATTTATCCCTTTAAAAATAACATTAATAACAACACTAATTGACCACTTCCCAGAAGGAGCTTTTCAGGGCCGAGATAAAAAAAAAATTGAAGCAAACATTGTTAATAAACAGAGTGTTCAAAAATCCCAACTGACATGCAAAGCGCTGCCAAGGAGCTGAAACCCAGAACAACCCGGAGCGCAAATCCAGAGAGTAGCAGGGGCCAGATTACAAGTCCAGCGTCCTTTTGCTAATCTGGTGAATTAATGGAAGTGTAGCATGGTGCAGAGTTTGTATTCTTGTTACTTGGTGCTTGTCTCTTTAAAAATCAACTTGCCACAAAGCCAACTCTTTGATCTCCTCTACCTTTTCAGTAGCACACTACTTTTCGTACTTTAATACACATTTCTTGTGATTAACAAACCTGGTCTCAGCACAAAACCTGGATCAAAGTCGACGTCAGCCTCAACAATTCTACGAAACAGACCAGGGATGAAAGGAACAAGTTACACTGCAAGCTCTTATTTAAATTGTTTTAACTTATCTCACTTGTGCCAAGGTATATCGAATACAGCCTGCGTAAAGTTACCTATTTGATACTCAAAACATCTATCATATCCGAAATCTATACTGAATTATGTTATTACTTAAAGAGCTTAATTGGCTCCCTACTGAACTGTTTTTTAAATTGCTTCTGATCAGTTATAAGGCTCTACGCGAAAGTAGTCATCTGTTATCTATTTCTGCATCACTGTGAAACATATTACCATGCAAAGCAAATAAAATAGATTGCAGTGGCTCTCTAGTCAACAAAACAACTCGAACAAGAGTTTCTGAAGCAATACAAAGAAAAATTCACAGTAACAATGAATGCTGATTGACTTACAGTGGGTAAAAATTTGAAAATTGCAAACCAGAAATTATGCATAGTTTTAAGATAAGCCTTTTTAAGTTCACATACCTCTTGGGATTTAATTCCCTTTTTACAACTATACTTGTAAATCCTTCAAAGCTTGTTGCAGAAGCATCACTGAGGGCCATTTGTTTGAAATCAATGACTGGCTTTGATGTTGATACACCACTACTGCTGGATACACATAGTTTACTGCCAGATTTTGTGTCAACTAAATTAGAGGAGGCCAGGTTAGTGGTAATGGCTGCAGTACAGTGTGATGACACCATCGACAACCTGTCACCACTTACTCTGTTCAGCTTCTGGGCTAAAATGCAGCCTTGATCAGTGATGGAATATCTACAAATGTATCAGAAAAGAAAGCATGCCTCTTCTCTACCATAATGAATAAAAACTATGCAGTGAAAGCTGGATTGCAGTGCCATGCATATTGAATGCACCAAACTCAAAGCCTTTGGATATTTCCACATAACTGAAGCACATGTGTAGGTCACAGTAATCTGTTACGTGCAACACTATTTTAAAAGAAGTCAAACATGAAGTGTCACACAATTCTCAGCAGAACAAACACCTTTGAAAAGATTTTCACATGGTTGCATATAGCATGATACATTAGGTTATTACCTGGCTGGATTGCTTGTCTTGGTAATAAAACCTTTTTTGATCAGTGCTGACATAGAGGACCATGCTGTGTAATGACTGCCTGGGTCAGGCTGGAATACATTCATTTTACATATTTAAACTGTAGAATTACTACACATTATTGATTATCATATATGCATGCCACTCACTTTGGAAGTGAAATTAAGGGTTGGAAACACACCTTATCACAAAGTTGACTTCTGATGAGTAATTAAACCTGACCAATGCCAGTTGTCGTTAGTTTTCAAAGTTTCTCAAGCTTCTGCATATCGCTATAGAATTCCATCAACATGCTACAGTAATTACAATTAGAGGAGTGGTGGAAATCATATTAAAACATATACAAATTCAATACAATGATCTCATTTTGAGATTCAAAAGAGTACCGTACCCTTTTGACTTCATCACTATTATCAAATGTTAATTTTTTTTGGATAACCAGAGCAAATACTATACTGTGTGTTGTGGTTTCATGTGCTGCTGGGCAAAGGATTTTTTTTTTTTTGAATATGAAGGTGTCCATAGTTGAAATTTTAGCACATTTAAATACATCAGACAAATGGTTAAGTTACTTTTTGGAATCTCAAAATGCCCTAAGTAGCGATTTGCAGAGTTTTCCTGTCTGGTTTTTAATTGTAAGTTGTTTCCTGAGCAATCCACTGGTTAATTGGCTTTGTTTTTAATTAACTTGAGTCATGACATTTACGAAATAAATCTCTTATATCAACATTAATATTTTGTCATGCTACTGAGTACATCAAGTTCAGATGAAAGCAAATTTCAGGACAGCAAATTCCTGTCTTTTGAGAATGTCATACAAAGGTCTAGAACAAAATGCAAATTTTTATGAAACTTATCTACAAATCTTTTTGGCTTTCCCAAAAACAGAGTAATTGGTGCACTTGGAAAAACTATTTTACCTTTGTAAAGGAAGCATCACAAAGCGGCTGTGCTTCCTTCTGAAGCTCAGCTCTTGTCATGTATCCTGGAAAGTTAAGACTCTAAACACAAAATGGAGCAAGAATCAGCTTATGGGAAAAACAATCAGTTCAAATTCATAATAATTCGACAGTTTTTATCACTGTTGTTTCCATCTTGGGGTGGACTCAAGAGCAACAAGGTAGACATGCTCAGTTTGTCTACTGCGCTTGCCTTGGACCAACACTATTAGTCCCTACTTGGTTTTCATAATCAAAAATTGATTATTGGATTGGCAGCACTAAGCATGATGAATGAAATTGAATATATGAAAATCATATTATATGTATAGCAGTTTCATGAAATGTATGAAAGTGATCCTCCCAGTAATGAACACTGTAGAAGTGAAACTAAAGCCTGAAAAAAAAGCGATCCTCGCAGTAATGAACATAATGAAGCTCAGTTGGTAGAGCACTGCACTGGTATCACATCTAAGGTCATGGGTTCAAACCCTGTATAAGCCTGAATTTTTTCAGGCCTTATTTTAACTACAGTCTACATAAGTAGGGTTCATTATTGCGAGGATCACTTTCATACACCAATAGTATGTTGCTGTTCATTCATGGGATTTACATAAGAGTGTGCTTAAAAACAGTAACCCTTTTTTTGTTGATGTTATTCATTATATGTATAATAACACTTTTTACACAGTCATTAGGTAAATATTATCACCTGGCTATGTTGATACAATGTTATAATCAAAGCATAAGGTCCTGATCTAAAGGCTGGTACATATTCAAGAGTGATTTTTCTCCTGGGTTCCTTTTTCTGAAACAGATTGGCATAAAAGGACATCATAAATAAATGAATAATTGCTACTTAACAATAACATTAAGAGATCACTTTTAAAGAAACACAAAGGAAAATAATGTGAGTTACAATGTTATGCAATAAATAAGTCTACACTTAACTACACCAAACTACACCTGACTGCATCAAACTACCCCAAACTACATCAACTACACTTAATTCAACAAACTACACCAAAATACATGTAGTACAACCAAACTACACCTACTACAAATAACTACACCAAACTACACCTACTACAACCATATATACTATCATGCCAAACTACACCAACTAAATCAAATTACAACAAACTACTCCAAATTACATCAAGCTACACCAAACCTCATCCACTGCACCAAACTACAACAAACTACACCTACTATACCAAACTACACCAAACAAAAGAAAGAAACAAAGTTTTGAATAAGAGATTTTAAAATAACACCACCACCAAGTGTTGAATCAACACCTCTTCACATCTCCAACCAGAAAGCCACTGGGAGCAAAATAATCAGACATGTAACTAGTTTTGGGTAAAATCAAAACTAAAATAAAATTCTCGAATGTGATTGGTTATCACCAGTCCAATTTGAGCACTAAGTGGACAGTTTATGCATCATGCTTGTAATTGGACAGTGCACCTCATGCATGTGTTATAGGACAGTACACATTATTTGCATGTGCTCTTGTCATGCATTTAACCCAGTTAACTGTTGTTTTTATAATATGAAAATTTATAAATAATGGTTAGGTTTGTTTCTCAAATTTTGTCATAGTTTTGATTAATTGGTAACAGGATTTAAGTTGCCCAATTCTGTCTGTAATTATGATAATAATTAACAAATTGGATTTCCATTTCACGGTTGTCTGATTTTGTTAATCACTTGTATGATTACAGACTGAATTGGACTCCACTCAGTCCTATCATCATTACAAATCATGGCGAAAGAAAAACAGAAATATGTTGTAGCTATTAGGTATTAATTGTGTATCATTCATCACACAGTTTAAATAAAGAATACCTTCTTAGGTTCTTCTTCAAGAATGTCATCATTTATTTCAATTGATGGTGGAGTAGGTACAAGAAGTGAGTCTAGCACTGGATCTGTTGTGTACTCATCTTCCAAAGCATGATTTGCAAACACCTCTGAAATTGAAATTAATTGGATGCTAATACAATAAATAATAGTAAACAATAAGACAACGTGAACTACAGTTGAGCAACAGGCCAGGTACTCTTGCATACAGTATTGTTCAGTTTTATGGTAAAATAGTTGTGGGCAAAATGTTGTAAGAAACTTTTACTTACTTAATATTTATGGTCTTACATTGGAGTGAGAGATACATTTGCAAAAAAAAAAGATTGTTTGCTTCAATCTGGTGGCTTAAGTATTGAGCCTTGAAGTGTAGCATGACCCTTTTAAAATAATTTCCAGCCATACTACTTATTTTGAAGGTAATAGACATGGTTAGCAGTATACAGCATTACTGGTATGTACTCTCACAAGAAATTTGCATTCCTCTTTTTTTAGTTCATGTCCAAATGATGACTTTTAAAAAGGTGAGCCAGGAACTCTGATAATGTAATTCTGGACCATTCACAGCATGCACATTTCTGAAATCTCTTGAGAATTTAACTTGAATATATAATCCCCCTGTTTTAATCATTACAAACCTTGGTGATTATTGACGGAGTACTTTTTCATGGCTTCATTAAGTCTTCTTGCAATCATGGCACCTGATTGAAATGAAAAAAATTCTCTTTTAGCAAGTTCAAGTAAAACTCTTTATTGACTAGCTGCCCCAATTTTAACTAAACCAAAGTAACTTCGCACATTCAGCATTTCCCAAGCAAATTTTCAAGTCCAAATGCTGAGCACAATGGCGCGCTAAGAAAATTGGCTGTCTTATATCCATTCTTATATCTGATTGACACCAATAACAGTAAATTATAAAACAGTCATGCAGATAAATGTAAGGTCTATTCTCTTGCTGTGGAAGTTTCTGAGCTGCATCCACTATCCAGTACATTTGTTTGACTTTTTTTAGCTCCTCTTGCACTTTTTTCCTCATTTTATATACAACTGGCGGCCACTCTGAGTCAAGGACCTCACTTGCTCAGCACTGAATAGCTTGGTCCTGACAAATTTTAACTTATTAACCTATAACTGTGGGAGATGCAAATAGGCAGGAGGTTTCCCTGTGTTTTTTGTTGACATTTAAAAGAAACCACCTCCCGGTTAGCTCAATTGGTTAGAGCGCTGGATTGTGTTGTGCGAGAGGTCGAGGGTTTGAGCCCTGGTCTTAAAATAACTAAGGAGAATTTGCTAGTAGCCTTTCTATAATATCAAGAAATGGATAGATATTCTAGTCTTCTCAGATAAGGACGAATAAACTGTAGGCCCCGTCTCCTGCAGGGTTAGGGGTAGGAGACATTAATTTCCCATGCACGAGATTACTGTGTGGTGGATGTCCTTCCCTGGGGTCGGGATGGGTGGGTTTACTGGGCCCGCAGTAATTGGCACAAGCTGTTGTGGTGTCCCTGCCTGTCAGCGAAGCTAATAAACTAAACTAAACTAGAAATTGGCAAGAATGAAAGGTAATTATTTTTTTAATGGCGCCATTCTGTGGGAGTTAAAATGAAAGTCTCTTGTCCTAATGAAATATAACACGTACTGTTAACAATGTTTTGAACATTTGACTTTATATGTTTTTACTTCAATTTTAAGTTTCCTCTTACTTGTTAAGCGCCTAGATCTATCATTGGATAGGCGCTATATAAATATCATTATTATTATTATATTATTAATCCAATCACTTGCAGCAGTTTCAATTAAAATGTATTGGTGGCATTAGAACTTGTAGCAGTAAGTAGCTTGTAGTATTCAAAAAGTAGTTTTACTGCCGTTCTTCTGCTAAATACTTCTCTGTCTTCTCCTTCCAAACAGTGTTTTTCAGCAAAATGAACCCACTATGAAACCCTGATCAAAAAGTACCACGCAGTTATAATTGCCTAAATAGATCCCCAGGGAAATAATCATAACATAATTGATTGTAATAATAAATATCAATTTATTATTTAAATAAATATTTATTTATTATTTATTACAAATCAACTCAACGGCCTGCTCCCAGTTGGCTTGTTAGCTCAATTGGTAGAGCGCTGCACTAGTATCACAGAGGTCAGTGGTTCGAATCCCATACAGGCCTGATTTTTTTCAGGTCTGATTTTGGCTATTGCATAAATAGCGCTCTCTACTGCAAGGATCATGCATCATACCTATCTAATACCGCAGTTCAAAATATATGAACTTCATATATCCATTGTATCTAATAAATATCAAGTTACCTTCTGTAGCCCAATTTCATGAAAGTATCTTCATGAATTCCATCTTCATAAAGTTGTTGTATTTAGGCATTTAAAACAATTAAAAAATAGTTTCCCATTCTCCTAAAGCTTAGTCACAGAGACAGCAAACTCAAACTGTTTGAATTAAGAAAGTGTGCAGCAGAGCAGACTGCCTATATATGCATGTAACATGATATGTTTGGAGTTATCCTTTTACTCCTCGGGTTGTGGAAAGCCCTGTTCACCAAGCTACTCCTTCTTAACACAAATTGTTCTAATTTATTTAATAACTTGAAGTAATGCTAGTTAATATATCAAATAAATGATAAAATAAAATACTTGCCAATGTTTTCAAGAATCATTGCCTCCTCTCCACAACTAAGAGGTAATGGATACTTCTTCATGGCAACAGCAGCCTTGAGAAAAAAATAAGGTTCTTAAACAAAAATATGAAGCCTCTCAAATGATTAAACAAAGCAATAACCCAAGTGCCAAGAGCCATGTAAATGAATTTATCTCAATAGGCAACCATGATGTGACCTTAAGTTCATTTTGCTAAAATAGAGGGTTACTGTCTTAATTCAATCTGAATACTTTCCAAAGGTTTATTGAAGGTGACATCATCAACAAATAAGCCATTTCCCTGAGGAACACTGACACCATTACTTGAGTATTAAATAAAGTACCCAGAGAGTTAACATTCTGGTAACAAGCCAGAGACAGAAAAGTTGAAGAAGAACAACCATATATCCATAATTTGGTTACTAACAAGTAATGATCTCCAACATCATGGCCGTGTGTATGAGAAAACTAGAGGTTTCATCCCCAAATTCTCAAAGGTGCACATGTTAGGCTGGCTTTCAAGTCTGCTAACATCAATAAATGCCTGCATGACTTCCCTTTCTTTTACCCTGAGCTTCACCCTCCAGCAGATTGCCTTGTGAAAGAATCATGTCACAAGTCTAATTAGATCCACACAAAGCTTTAGCAAAGCAATATTTTGGATTGTAGCAAAGCCATTAAATCAGAACCATTTACTTGTTAATTAAAGGAGCCTTAAGAAATTGAAGTTTGTGGGGAGCTAAAGCTTTCTTGATTCACCAGCTAGCAAAGAAACAGATTGCTTTCATGGTTGAAGCTTTTCTCGGCCACCTGTTTAATTTAGTGTTAAGCAGGAGTCTATTCTAAGGCCTTTGTTAATACACAGAGATATAAACATAGCCTCTTGCTTTTTGACTGATTTTATGGGTTAGTGATCAGGCTGGTGGATTTTGACGTCACTTGCTTAACAAAGAAGTGTATTTCTTGGGGACCGGCTTAAATAATAGAATTACCTTAAGTCTACGACACTCAGCTATATACATTTATTGGAGGAAATACTGCTAATACTACACAAACTGACAGAAAGAAAAAGAATTTATCATCCTTAGATGAACACTGTCTTGTTATACCAATGTGTTAACTATATAACCAGGCTGGCTGATATTTCCAGTTTTATAATTTATACGTATGATGCACGATCCTCGCAGTAGATAACGCTATTTAAGCAATAGAGAAAATCTACTGCTTAAATAGCGTTATCTACTGCGAGGATCGTGCATCATACGTATCAAATACCGCAGTTCAAAATATATGATTTTCATATATTTATTCTATCTCATTTATAATTTATGTCATCCACTTTGAAATAACTGTAGATCCTTGTCATGTTATAGGCTCTCAGCAGTGTGAGTTATTCACGGATCATGCCAGTTTGCTTTAAATCATATCTTTTCCTTAGCCAATGATAAGGCAATATTAAAACAAAACAGCTGATCAGATTTTAAAGCTCATTTCAATTACCAATATTGATTCACGTTTTCTTTAAGGTTATGACTCACATTAATAAGTAGAAAGGCAACTATTTAATCAATCAGTCAATGAACTTATTACAAACTGCTTGGGAAATTTCATTTGGGCTAGCTAGATAAATGACCCTCGGGCTAGTACACGCTAATCACACCTTGCTCAAAGGGCAACCTAAAAGCTGATTAGTTTGCACCCTTATCTTCTTACTATGATTGTTCAGTAACCCAGGAATATGCTACGTCGTAAGAGGTTATGTTAATATAACTGAGTACACCAGTGCAGTTTTAGAATTCAGATATTAATTCTGTTGGTCGAAAGAATAAATAGAGAAACTGTACACCAAATGTACCTTTTCAATCGATTGTGAACAAAAGGTAAAATAAAAGACAGAAATTTAAAAAATATATAAAACCGGGTTATAAAACAAAGCGAAATCCCTTGGTTTCCGTTCCATGTATATTTCCGCTTTCCGTGCAGGCGATCGACGTGTTTTGCTGTTATCTTTGCGTCATGTTTGTGGTCTCTCACCTTGGCGTAAGTGTGCTGCAGCTTGGAGTTCCTCTGCTTCGCTTCATCCCGCCAATCCTCTAGACACTTCAAGAAAAGGGGGTTAGGGCATTTTTGTTGCTTTTTACGATGCATGGCACGGGGTCAGTAGGTCTGGCTTATTTCTTAAGCGTGTGAATATGGGCTACGATCAGCTACTATGTATTATCAGATCAATTTCCCCGCCATTGGAGTTTTACCACCGCTGACGTTAAGCTCAAGATGTCATGTAAGAACACATGACTAGTATTTCATTTAAGGCATTTACTGTGGTTTCAATGCGGGATTGCATATTTGAAACTCTTCACGTCTTTGATGTTTATCTGTGATCCTTGTTTACCGGATGTAAGAGTTGACGTCTGCATTATGGGAGTTGGATGACAGTGTGTAGGTGGTTGAAATGGCGTCCAAATCTTAACCGAATCACACCCTCAGATCGCACACTGAATCGTTGATGAATTTGTGCGCCACCACAGATGTTGCGCAGACTGAAATTCGTCATCTCCTTTGTGCACAGAAATATTTTAGCACTATCCTCCATGATCTCTTTTCTTTATCAATGGACGCAAACGGTGACTTTTCAAGATACCAGGTGATTTGCATTTGAATAGGAATACAGAAGTGACGGCCAGCCAATCAACAAATGATTCCCCTTCTTTTACGTTATTTCTTCCCACAATCACCGGAGTCAATGCTTTTAAATTTTAAATAGATCTGAGGATTTACCATTATGCACCGTAAGCCTATTGGTTCTTGCAACTGATTATGTATTCGTAGAGCATATTTATTCCGGAACTAAAAGCGGATACGGGGTGTTTGGACTGAATAATGAACGTTTGAATCAGGTGGAAAACCTTCACTTGGCAGATCTAGCATCACCGCTTTGGTAATTCCGCCAACCGCTTGTTTTAAAGTCGTCGCTTGAAAACAGATTCTGGTGATCATTGTGTTGTCGAGTAATCGCGCCCGTTCATACAGCTCCTTGTTGCTATATGAACATGTCTGTTAGTCGAATGAATTTTGTGTATTATTGTTCCACTGTTTCATGCCAATAATGGGACGCACAAGTCTTTCTGGGCACGAAGAAGATGAAAATGGCTGCCACACTCATATCGTTGTTCGCCGATCCGAACGGACAACTCTCCATGGGAGGTATGATCACATTGTTGATTTTTTTTTTCTTTGTAAGAAAAATGGATGTTCTTCTGTACAGAGAGATCGGGTAAATTTTTAACTCAAATTGTTCACAATGTGGGTTTAATAGACTGATGTTAGTCAGTCATTGTCGTAAGGTTACATTGCCCAAGCGTGGAATGTTAGCCGGTGACAAGTTTAGTGAATACCACAGTGATGGTAAAAATTTCTTGAAACTTTTGAATGAAAAGAAAAGTTTGAAAAAATGGTATAAATTTTTAATTTTACTCACAAGGCCCCACGTTGTCGTGAAGTGTTCAAGAAAGAAATCGAATTAAGATTGTGCATCAAATGGGCTTGTCATTTTCTCCCTGTTTGGCGTTAAAGTAATATACTTTTGGCATGGGAAAGTCGCTTAGTTTTCCTTTAAATTTAGGAATTTTCGAAGCTGTGTTTATTAATAAAACTAAAGAATACAGGCAAACAGCACTGGAGAGGAAAATTGTCGATTCGTTGAAGATTCTTTAGTGATTCTCTTTTTGTGATAAATATGATATCATTAAGTTTAACATTGGTGGCATCAGAGCGTAAAGAGGGGGCTTTTAGGGGCGCTTGAAGTCAGCAAAAAGGTTTTAAAATACTGATTTTCGCTCGCTAACACTGTTTCGGATTAGTTTTACGACCCATCAGGTACATACAAATGTCAACAATGAATTATTTATCCTGTCTTGTACTGTATCGCATAATATGTGGATGTGTTTTATGCCTTCTACGAATGTGCATGTGCTTTTCTTCCGAGGCGGTGTTCAAGAAGCTAGCTTATTGTCTCTTTTTTCTGGAAAGAAGTTTCTTTTAATCTATTTACTATCTCCTGTTTGGTAAGAAGCTATGTCGAAATCATGAGATTCTCTCGACAATTCCAACTTTAAAGATAATTCAGGGATGTAGGTTACCTACAGTTGGAAGAGGCAAAAAAAGACATTTTGAGAGGCAGTAACCTTTTGAAGAAGCGTCAAAGAACTTCATCTTTTCCTTTCTATCAGTGAGAAATGATAGAGCGATTCTTTACTTTAGAAATGTCACTGTGTTGAGCAGGTGTAATACAGAGACCACAAGTCACATTTTTAGTTTCCAGCTGCAGAAATCCCTGGCAGATTAAAATCATTGTTAAAAATAATAAAAACAGAATTAGCAATACTTAAATCGTTGCTGGAAGTTATCTGAATTATTCTCTAAAACAACGCTGAGGTGTACATTTAAAAATTAAAAAGAAGAAAAAGAAGGTTGAGCCATTTTGACCTCTCTCTTGAAATCTTGTGTGAACCTCGTCATATGTATGAAAAGTTTTTACTGAACACCAATGAATGTTTCATTTACCATGAGATCCTTTGAACATTCTCTGGTAAGTGTACTATGAATGACTAAAGTTTCTATTCAAATAGATAATTCCTTAATATATTTCGGATGGGTTATTACTTAACTGAATTAAACTTGTAACAATCAGTACATTTCATTTCTTCCATCTGAATGTTTGATGTACAGATTTGTGTTTCTCAGAAATCTTTAATTTTTTTTCTTCTTCAAATATTTATTAGGAATAGTTCTAAGTTTGCATAATAGCCAAATAGCAGGTGGATGATTAATTATCCCTTCTAAGTTGGCCATAGATTATTGAAGAAAATCCAAAACTGAGCCAAACAACATGTTAGTATGAATTAAAAAAACCCTTCACCTATCATGAATAAAAATCATATTTAAAAAAAAATTAGAAGTAGTTATTTTATAGGCTGTTGAATTCCACAAGTTTATTTTCCTGTTTTGTGATTTGTCAAAACTGACCAGCTATAGTATATACTTTTTTTGAACATAAAAGTGGAAGTGAGTTGAGAAGAATCTTAATTTTCTTGAATATAATTTGAGAAGTCCTTTTTTTCTGGAAAATCATTACTGTCAGTAACAACTGTTGATTTCTTCTGTGCCTGTTTTCCCAAGAATCAAGACATTATCCGTATGTTAAGTTCTAGACAGAAACTGGTGTCAAAGTAGAAAATCATCCTTGTGGTCCAGTTTTTATCCTTTAATGAACTGGAAAAAAATAGAAATTGAATGCGAGACTTGGTAAAGAGATTAACAGAACTATTTACATGAATACTGACACAAAGAACATTTAAGTGGTGAATTGCACCCCAGCAAGGAGGATTTATATTAGAAAAAAATGAATGATTGTGGCAATATTTTATCTTAGCCACTTAAGGTTACCGTCCACCTTCAGGGGTGTCTTGTGTGCAAGCGATGTAGCGCGTCCAGTTTAAACTGTAGATATCTAAACCCCTATATCAAATTAAAGCTTATAGGACTGGCTATCAGACTATACCAAAAATTTTGAAAAGAAATGAATTGTCGGATTTTTCACAACTTCTAAATGCGAGCACCCGAATCACCTTTTGAACGTTACATGTCAAAGCAAATTTTGTTTTTCGCTTATTTAATGTGTTCCTCTGTTTCTGGGGCCAAAGCGCTAAAAAAACGTGTCTACGATTTGCCGTATTCAATTTCAGTGAAAAGTTAAAGAACATTTTTGAAATAGGATTAAAAAATGTGGAGTGATTGTATAAAATCGCTCTTGAAAAAAAAAGTATTTAGAAATAAAAAATTCGGAGACACCTTTTTTGTTGTTTATATGTAAAACCAGCTACTGTCAAAATTTAAGAGCAATCGAACAAATTTCCTTTGACTTGTAGCTCTTAAAAGGTGATTTGGGCGCTCGCATTTAGAAGTCATGAAAAATTCAACAATTTTTTTTCAAAATTTTTGATATTGTCTGATAGCCAGTCCTATAAGCTTTAATTTGATATAGGGGTTTAGATATCTACAGTTATAACCGGACACGCTACATCGCTTGCACGCGAGACACCCCTGAAGGTGCACGGTAACCTTAATGTCAAACTTTTTGAGTCATATATTGCATGTTTATTAGTAGTTATGCTGGATAAGTAATCCTGATGCTTGCTAATTATGTGACTCAACTAATTGTCACACTTTGTGATTTGATGGAAGTGTAAAAGGGTTGTGAAAGGATTGGAGGAATATCTCTAATGCTAGTGGAAACTAATTTGGGTGAGAGCATTTTGAGAGTCACTTGTTATGGACAAGTGCAAGTTTCAAAATTAATTTACTAGTATTGGGTACTTTTTCAATGGTATTGTAGGTCCACGTCAGCTTTTTTAGCAGCTTTTTATTGACCTACATGACAAACGAAGTATGTATGTATGTAAACAATTTTTTGTCTTTGCAAACAGTGTCTGTTCAAGAAAACTTTGTGCCAATCTTTTGATATTTTATGTGTTTTATGTCATTGCATCTATAGGTACTATGGTTATATGATTAATTTTCCCTATCATTCAGCAGCAACTAATTAGATCGTGATTGCTTAATTTACAGCTTTTAGATAAGGCATGGGTCTTACATACTACAATCATGGTTTACATAATTATGTACAGGAAAAAAAGAGAAAGGGAATGGACTTAAACTGTAGAGAAGAGAAATTTTGAGGTGATGATTTCTGCCAGTGTAAGGTACATGCCTATCAACCTGCTGCTAGATGTTCTTTTGCTACTTCATCAAACACAAGGGAAAATCAAAGCTTAGGCGAGACATAAACCCATTTATTATAGCAAGGAGTTTGAGAAGTGGCTAACAGCCTTTAAAGTCCTTATAAATGTCAATTTTTGGGCTAGAAAACATATTGTTCATGCTTGATATATTTTCCTAGTATCTATGTGTATTTTCCTAGTACCGTTACATATTTCATGTGTAAACTAAGGTGATAACTTAAAGCAACAGATGAGTATACTGCAGCAGTGCTGTTCAATTAAGTGTAGTTACTTTAATATTAACTTTACTGCAAATTAAACAGGGAGGCCTCAGTTGAATGCCCTGGCCAAAATCTTATAACTAGCAATTTTTCCCAGGTGTCTATCTGAGGCCAGAATTTAATCACTAAAATATATTCAAAAGACTTAAAATCAAGTTTACATAAACTATAGTCAGTCACTATAACCGCCTCCCGGTTAGCTCAATGGATAGAGCGCTGGACTGTAGTGAGGGAGGTCGAGGGTTCGAGCCCCAGCCGGACCAACACTCAAGGTCTTAAAATAATTGAGAAGAATTTGCTACCTTTCTATAACATCAAGAAATGGTTAGATATTCTAGTCTTCTCGGATAGGGACCAATAAATGGAGGTCCTGTCTCCTGCAGGGTTGGGGCAGGAGACGTTAATTTCCCACATACGAGATTACTGTGTGATGGATGTCCTCCCCTGGGGTGGGATGGGTGGGTTAGGACAGCAGGTCCACATCAGCTATTACAGCTGCCAATTAATCAACTTGCTTAAACAAATAAATGAACAACAACAACAACAACTACATTTTGTCTTCCTTTAATAATTCTGATTTCATTTGGACAGAGTTTGTGAGAGTGGGTCAGAATTTAATCCCAAAAATATTGTAATGAAAGATTGAAATTAAGATAACATGAAATGCTTGCAGACAGAAAGTGTTTTTTTTAGTGGGTGCTGATATGTCTTATTATGCCTTCCAATAATGTGACCTTGAGGTTCAGGGCCAAATGTCTGATTTTGTTTCATGCTACTCTCAATTGCAACAGATACCTGAAAGCAGAAACAGACAACATTGATTGAAATTGTCCAATGACAACTTTGGATTGTGATCTTGTGAATCCTCTGAAGCAGACTATATGTGTTATTGTTGAGATCTGCAAGATGATTCAGGCAAACTCCTTGTTGTGCTTCTTATTGAGAATTACTGGACACTTCTAACTTGCCCTCCCTGATTGACTATTTTGAATTTCTTTTTTCTTTGTCTTTATAGTGTTCAATAGCCAGTTTGCCAAATTGAAGTACACTGCTAATGTTGCCCTTGAATAATGATCATGAATAACTCAGGTAAGATTCTATGATTTCAATCATGGAAGAATTAGATGTTGTGCCGATGAAAGGTACTGGTATGCTTGTGTGAAGTCTTATTGTTTGCAGTAAAAAACTTATCAGATAATTACCAGCTTTTAATCTGATAAAGATAGAGAAACCACAGAGGAAGAGAGGCTGTTTCTAGAACTGTAATGTAAGTGTTGACCCATTCAAAGGCAGAGTTTCTTCCTTGTCATAAAGGTACAATAAAATAAGCTGTGTATTTTTATACTGAAGGACAATATGAAATGAAGGTAATGTTAAGGCAAATTTACATGGTACAACTTTGTTGCATGTGGTAAGCTTGGACCATTTACATGAGCACAACATTTTCACCTATGTCATGCCAAAATTGCATACAATTCCACTCTCTGTGGACTTCATCTTCACTTGATGGCGCAATCGATTTCTCTGTCTGCAACTTTGTATGCCATTTTGATGCAAGAAAAATTTACTTTCCTCTCCCTACTCGTAAAGTTTGTCACAATTTTTTAAACATATGCGACAGTCATAATTATTAAGAAAGTTGTAAGTTTAATTTACACAAAACAATTTGTGTGGTAGGCTTGTGGCATGCAACAAAGTTGTACCATGTAAATCAATGTTTAGGACTTCAAATTAAATTTGATTCAAGAGCCTACTGGTGGCTAGTTCATATCTTTCACCACCACCTCATAGTTTTTTGCTGTCATTTTCTTGCCCATAGGCCTTCTAGGAAATTTGCAGATGAAATCTTGTAAGTCAGTGACTCCAACCCTCAAAAGTGCAGTTTGCTAGCTGTACAGCCTTACCCTACAGCACCTGTAAAACTTTTGCAAGGATTTGTTAATATTTCTGTTGGGTTCATTTGAGAGGAAACAAGCAATACTTAGATTCTGCATGCTCTGTGCTGATAACTGGTCAAGGCATTGAAATTATGAAATGACCAGCAGTCTACTTGTTACGCACCAATTGCCTCCAGATAGATTAAGGGGTATTGGTCTTGCATTTAGTTTATGTCAAGCCTAATAAAGGAAACAATTGTCACTAAGCTTTTGTCTGCTTTGAACCCCATCAGAGTTAATTCTTAAGCAAACATTTGCTCATTAAAAAAATTATCTTGCATAATTGACATTGAAAATTATTGCTCTGCCTCATATATTAAATGGAGGAATGGCTTGATCACAGTCATTCAAAGAAGCTTGTGTCCTGAATGTCCAGGAAGCTACTGAAACCATGCTGCACTCTGTAAACATTTTGCCTCAATTCATGTCTTTGGTTTGTTCACTGGCAACTAAGGCTCAGAAAATTTGGTCATCAACCCACCATTTTCAGTAAGTGCAGGGTAACTGATCATTGACAACTAGACAGTCCTTATTTCAAGCATTCACCAGGATATTTGACACATGTACTGAAATGGTTCTTGTCATACTGTATATTATAATGATGAGGAAAGACTTTTATTTTGAACCTAATTTGCAAGAGATTTCAATAACTGACTTGCCGCTAAAAATATTTGCAGTACTTAAATGTACTTATCCTTTATTTCTTCTGCATTTAGTGGCCTTGGTGGCTGGCTTAGCAACAGGGATCCCTGTAGTTGTCCTGGTGTCAATTTACATGGTGTATTGCTGCTGTCGGCGGAAGCAGCAAGATCTACAAGAACCTCGTCTGTGGAGGATTAAGGATACCTCCCATGATCCATATATTCCACCTTTTGTACCAAGAATAGTACAGAAATTTGTGCAACATTCTCATCATGGAACTCGTAACAGTAGTAGTGCAACGTCTGCTCAGACTTCACCATTAGAAGAGAAATCATTTTTCAGTGAGGATTCTGGTTCATATCGAACAGCACCTGATGATGCTGGCATTCCAGAAAAGAGACATAGTTTGGGTAGTTTTGAGGCACTTAATGTGCCAACAATTAGACGATCATCCCTTCTTCAACTTAGTACCTCAAGTGGAGATAGCTCAGAAAGCATCTATGAGCAAAGAAAGAGCTCAGATGTCAAGTCTCCCAAGAGTTTTCCAAAAAGCAGCAGCAAGTCTTTTGAATTTGTGAGGCCAATTCCAGTCAAACCACTCATAACAATTACTAGAGTAGAATCTAAGGATGATATGAGCACGAAAGTGCATGGAGGTGATGTAGATCCAAATGGCCAGAGTCATTCAGACTCACAAGTCCTACCTGTCAGGAAGCCACCTAAACCTTCTCGTAGCTTAGATAATGTTTCTGTCCCATCAAGAGCGAGCAAAGAGAGGAAAGGAAGTACTGACAGGAATTTGGCAGAGGGGAGGAAAGAAAGTGGTGCCACTGAAGGGGAATTAAAAGTTAAACAAGGAACTATTACCAAGATTCCTGTGAACATTCCATCCCAAGTCATTCATTCACATAAAGATACCAGACGAAGGAGCTCACACAGTGGTCTAGGCAGATTAAATGTGTCATTACAATATAAACAGACCAGCTGTGACTTATTTATAAAGGTAATCCCTACTCTGTTTCATGCAGGTTTTGTGAGAAAAACTAAACCACAAATGACAACATATTTGGTTTGTGGTTTTGCTCACATGAGCTGAACTTAATTGCAACTGGTTGGTATACAATTGACTTTTCAGAATGAAATCAATATGTTGGGATTTTTAAGAGTGAACAGAGAGTAGCACTCTTAGTAGCACTCTACAGGGCTCAACACTAACAGTAGCCCACTAGCCATAGACTAGTAGAAATTCAGTTTTGGCTAGTGGTTTTCAATTTCCACTAGTCAGTTTGGCTAGTAAACAGACTGAAATTGTCATAACATCTAAAAACATCTAAGATGTCACTAGCCACTTGGTTAGTAAGTTGAAAAGTTAGTGTCGAGCCCTGTAACACACGTGTACCAACATATTTACTGGGGGTGGCTTGGTCCTAATAGCAGGTGAGATACTGCCCACATTTGTTTACTTACTAGGTACTTAAACGTAATGGCACAGGTTGGAATGGAGATCGTTGTATGCCATGTGCAGTAATCATGCTAGAGACTGACAGATTTTAGGTTTCCATTGAGAGTACCCATATCAGTGGGTATTTCCTGTAAGTCATGGAGTGTAAAATGCTTGCACCTTCTTATATACTGCACAATTGTTTTTTTGGAAAGCAATAACTCATACACCAAATTGAAATATGGCATCCAATTTGAATAACCATTGTTCTGGACTTACTAGCCTCGTCTTCATGTGGAAAACACAAAAGGATTATCACATGTGTGAGAGGCTAGTAAGTCCAGAACAATGGCAATTCAAATTGGATGCCATTTTTTTATTTGGTGTATTGATCAAAGATTTACTTTATCAACCCTCTCCTTATAGCTAATTATCTTTACCTTTCATAAGAGAGGGTGTTGTTTTACAAAAATAAATTTTTATAAATATGAGAGTGGGTGTTGTTTTACAAAAATAAATTTTCATAAATATGATCATTCAATCTTTCTACTCTGTTTATTTATACTGTGCTCATAGATCCTCCAGGCTCGAGAACTGCCCGCAAAAGACCTACGTAACAACACATCTTCACCGTATGTTCGAGTTTATGCACTCCCAACACGGAGACATAACCACAGAACAACAGTTATTGAAAAGAACCTGCATCCAGTATGGAATGAATTGTTTATTATTAGTGGGCTCACTCTATCTGAAATTAGACAACTTGCGTTACATTTTCTGGTCATACATCATCAGCCAGTGTCACGCAATGTTGTTATAGGAGAGGTGATGATGACTTTGGGTGGATTGGACCTAACAGGAGGAGAAGTAAATGTTTGGAGAGAAATCAGACCTCATCAGTTTCAAAATGTAAGACTGCATATCAGCCATTGGTATTGTTACAAAATATATGAACTCATTTCCCTTGATTTTGATTATGTTGATTTTTCAAACTTCCAACTGATGGTTAACTTCAAGAAAAGGGCATCCATGTACAAAATTGTCATTTGCAGAGAAAGAAACAGTCAAGAAAAAAAGAGGACTGTGTACAAAATTGATATTTATGGAGAAAGAAACAGCTCAAGAATCTTAGAAATACAAAGTAACAAACCTGTTTTGTTGAATTAATTTAAACCTCTACAATATTCTGCTTTGACATTTTGTCTTTAGGAGTAGAGCCTTTTGCAATATTGGGTGTGTCCAAACTAATCATAATTATTTGGTCATTCTCCAACCAGTGGGTTTGTACCCTAATGTGGTTGATTGGTACCCAAGTTCAAGTGGGTTTTATACCCAAGTTGCTTATTGATTCATTCAATTATTTTAAATTAATTACTTCACATGTCAGAGTGTAAACAACTGTCAGTTGTTGTCAGCAAGTTAGTAGAGTCAAGGGAGTAAGATATAAACAAAAAAATATTTTGTGTATACTTGTGATCTTCTTAAGAAAGTTAACTTTTAATACAAAAGTCTATTGTTTATACTTGTGACTTCTTTAAAATAGTAGCTCATGTAAGTGTGATATTTTTCTCCTAATGTTAATATCGAAACCACACTTTACCAATTTGGGTATGAAACAATTGAGCTGGGTATGAAACGACTCAACTGACAAGGTACAAAACTGCCTAGAATGACTGCATGGGTACAAAACCACCTCGGGTATGAAATGACCAGTAACCAAAGTAATCTGATTGCTGCAGTTTTGCTATACTTTTCTTGCACTGTGATTGGTCCAGAATGACACCTCAACCAATCAGATTCAAAAGTAAAACTACTACTGATTTGGACACCATTTTCCCATGTTTCATACAGTTCACCAGTGTTTTTACCTGGAGTTCTAATTGGCTCGTGCTGATGTCAACCTTCACTCTAATTTGCGGTGGTAATAATTATTACATTGATTCTGGTTTTTTGAAACCCAAGTGAAAACAGCATTGTTAAGCAAGTACTCCATGATGATGTGTGAGGAGTTTCCATGCATGTTTTCTACCATAATAACTTAATTTTTTGTTTTATTCTCGCGGCAGTCCTTCTTACAAATTATTTTTCCTTTGAAACAGATTCTTGGTGATTTGCATGTGTCTGTTTGTCATCAACCACTGTCAAGTAAACTTTCAGTAACTGTGTTAGAAGCAAAAAACCTGCCAAAAATTAGCAGTCTCAACATAGGAGGTAGGAAGTAATCAGTAATGTTTCAGTTACGTCATAATTAAAGTTCAGAAAAATATTACAATCTCCACAATTTTGTAGTTCAAAATTTTGGGGAGAGTTTAAACTCCCAGAATTAATACTTTGGGTATCAGGTTTAAAAAGGAATGCGTTGTAGTAATACACATCCCCAAAATGGTAACTGTTTATGAAATTTATCTCTAGATCCATATGTCAAGGTGGAATTGTTTTCTTCAAACCGCCGTGTTGCTAAGAAGAAAACCCGTGTGAAAAAGAAAACAGTAAACCCAAAGTTCGCCCAGACCTTTACATTTGACCTGGGAGGAAAAGTGGCACTCGATCACATGACCGTGATGTTTACTGTACTAGTGCAAGATTCAAGTGGATGCCATGAACGGGTCGGCCAAGTGGTATTGAGCACAGCAGCAGGTGATGGGCCAGAGTTTGACCATTGGAGTCAGGTGATCTGCAATCCACATTGCCCTATTGACCAGTGGCATATGATACATGAATAGGTCATCTGCAATCTGTTTACAAATGTAGGTGTAATTTATCAAGAGTTTCATTTAAGGCACAGATTCCCACAATACTGTAGCTTATAGTTCATGAATAAAGTAGCGGTATGGCGCATAATGAGGGAAAGAAGTTAGCGAACCACTAAAGCTTAAATGTGCCTGTTATCAAGTGTTAAGATACTAAAGGCACTCAAGTTTTTCTATTTAAACAATAGAGTTTTTCTGTCGAGAAACTATCGGCCGATAGTTGCCCCGCGGAAATGTGATGTTCTTAAAACAAATATGCTAGTTTTAAGAACATCAACTTTCCAAGGGGCAACTATCAGACCGATAGTTCCGAGACATAAACACTCTATTGTCTTTATTGTTCACCACTAAATTTTCTTCCGCGCGCCAGTTGAAAAACATTCAAAACCCACTAAATGCAGATCAATCAAATATTTATTCATGCGTAGAGCCTGTCACAAATGTCAACAATTCGCAGCCGTACATTGGCTAAATAATACGTTATACCTGTCAGAATTAAAAAGTCACTTTTTCCGATCTGCCTAACTTCGCGTCCGTCAAACCATTCAAAAATTTTCACGGATGAGTAGTATCCATCCGGGTATTTCCTCGGACGGACACTATGTCTTTCCACGGATGAACACTATCGCGTCACGTGATCAATTTAAACCAATAAGAATCGGAGAAAATATAGTGGTGAACTATTAAAATGGATAGTACTATTCAGTGGATTCATTCCAACAAGACAAAGTTGGCTTTCACTAGTTAGTGATGTATATTGTGAAAAAGAATTGTTTACGCTTCAAATAACCGTATATGAATACGTATTGTGGTAATCTGTGCATTATTTGCTGGTTATGACTTAAATGGATACTCTAAAATCAGGTTTCCGAGTAAGGACTGGAACCTACCATTATTTTCGGTAAATAAGTCAATGAAAAATAATAATAGGATCCAATCCTTACTCGGAAACCTAATTTTAGAGTATCCACATTAGTCACGACCATAACTTGTTATCTTCTTCATTTCTCACGTTATCTCTTAAATGTTGCTAGCAGAACCAAAGTTTGGTCCGTGTGATAACAATTGAGCAGTTTCCGACGAATCAATTGATCTATTCTTCAATTCTTGATCAGCATATACCATTGTAGTCAATAAATAACTGCAGTGATGAGTGCCACGTGATATTCACCTGGAAGGGTCTAGCTTGTATCTCTTTGTCCTACTTTGTCACTTATTTATGGTATGAGAACTATTGAAAGATATCAAGCGCTGCGTCACTCCCCGTTAAGAACCAAAGAGAATTAACACTCCTCTTATGAATTTAATTTCTTAACCCCACTTTACTTCTTGATATCATTATACTTTATGGCAGGTTTTTATGGTTTAACAGATAAACAATAGCCTCCCTCTATTTGGTGTGAAAATATGGACAGATCTTTGTCGGCAAACTCTATTTGGACCGAGATACGAACAGAGAGCGAAGCTTGAGGAAACTGTGAGCTTTGAGGAACAGATAATGTCCAAAGACGAATATAGGAACATCTTTTATAGGATATGGGAACATGTGTTTATTGTTCTTCAAATAGTATTGCAACGTGCGGGAAAATGTTTTCTTTGGTACGACTCTGTGAATAAACAAACATGTCCCTTATCCTGTAACAATAGAACAACACTCTGTCGTCTTGAATTAGATTCTAAACAAAGCTTTTATCGTATTGAATGTAAAATTTGAAAATTGAGGAATATCACTTGGGGTATATCTTCAGATATTCCCTAGTTTTAGCTGGAGAATATTCCGTCAAGTGATGCGTTTAGACAAATGGCATGCGAGAAGAAATGTTTGATGAATTATATATTAAATTATTCTTCTCACACTCGGCAACTATTGTTGAATAATTACTGCGATAAAGTCATGGGCATTATGTGGCATTTTTAATCAGTTCCAATTGTTGTGAATTTTTGCATGGTGACTGTACGGCCTTGCATTTCAGTTTGTTTAGACGTTTGCCAGTTTTAACCTTGTTATGTGAAATTGTCCCTGAACTATCATACTTAACATTAGAGAAAAGCATTTCCCCATAACCTTTCGATGCTTTAAACAAACACAAAAAACATCTATCTCACCTTGTGACCTAAGAGTTCCTAGCTGGTCTCAAGAGGGAGGATTTTATCATCCAAACACGATTTTATCCGTTTTCAAGGTCTTCAATTGTAAGTGATTTACCCAGTTAAATATCGGTGGATTATGAAAGAAATTGCACCTTTCGACGCTAGGCCTGTGAAATTGGAGTGTGGAGGAGTTATGGGATATTCTTACACTGCTCTGGTTTGACTGTCTGGCTTGTGTTGAGATGTAGGCTTAGAGTTCTATTCGATGATTACGCTCTGGATTTTCCACGCTTTTTGATAAAAGCCCCTGTTCAATCACTACTTGAGTTCGGTTGAAAATAGTTTGCAGGAAATTAAGAGTTTCTGTTTTGATGCTATTGGTATCGACACAAGAAGTATAAATTGTGGGTAAACACATAACTTGAGAACAAACCCGTTATGGAAGAAATATACAGATTATTTATTTTGAAATAAATTCGAGAGTCATTGTAATGAAAGAAAGGTCTATAATTAGGTATTTATTAGTGAGACACATTCAATATCCTATTTAGTTTATTAGACTGATGGAACGAAGTTGATATGATATATTATGGATGAAATAAATTTATTTGGCGTTATATGTTGTTTTTTAGTCGATGTTCTTAGTGATGTGGTTTCTTTGATAACAAAGGTTTCCTTTTGCCATTCGTCCTGGGTTATTTTGTTGAATCAGACCAACTCTTTGGAATTGTTTTTTCTTTTCAGCAATACTTTCTTTGATCAATTAAACGACATTAACGACGAGTCATGTGCGTTACATGCTCTACATTGCTCTATCTAGCTATAGGTGCTGATGGTAATCAACCAAAAACTTTGTCTTCACTATATATATGACGTAAAATGCAGCGACACTCTCTAGATCTGACACAACCTACCGCAAACTGTTGTCATGCCCGTTCTTTACCTGAACCCTGGGCTGCCAGGATTACGGCCCTCCTTCCCATGGAGTTTCGTTACATGGCAGGTAGGGCACCGTAGGGTATTCAGGAAGAGAGGAAAGATTAGGGAATGGCTTCAGACATCTACCTATTGGTGTTCCAGCCCATTCATTACAAAAACAACCATTTCCACCCACCGCTTTCCTCCACAGGAAAGTGTTGGAAAACCTCCTGTGATTTTCCCTTTCATTTGATCTTTTGCAATCAAAAGCGGCTGCCTAAGAAGAGCTCGTCAATGATAGCGAAGGGGAGAATGAGCAGATAAACACTGTACAGGACTAACCTGATAAAGAAAAGTTGTGAAGTCAAAGAAAGTTTGCCTTGATATATTTGCATAACTTTTGTTAGTGTTTGTATGTGTAGTTTTATTTATATGATAAAACATTGCAACCCTACATTTAGTGAAATTTCGCGTGAACTCTATTTCACTCTGTTTTTCTTTTCTTTTTTTTTTTTTTTTTTTTTTTGGATGGCCGCTTTTTGAAGCCATTTTTCGTGTAACCCCTCCCCCCTAGATCCCATCAACCCCATTACCTCTTACAAAATGAGCGGACCCTTGTGTGTTTATATCTTGTCTTTTAAATAACCTTCGCAAATTAATTTCGTGACGTAGTGAAGCGAAATGCAACCACTTAAAATTTAATTTGCTGTCTTAAAATGAAGCTTCACCAAAGCGAAGCTTCACCAAAGCGAAGTTTCACCACTTCAAATATATTAAAAGCATCCATTTTGTTCGGGTTTGGGCAAAAATATGTACCATAATTATTTTTTTCAGCTTGTTTCACGTCATCTAGATTCATTGTCTCGGCTGGATATTCTCTCATAAGAGTTTCTGGATGGTCTTTGCCTGTCAGGCGATGACGATGAACTTCCTCTACTCGATATAGAGTATCGCGGGCGCACTTTAGATGCTGTGGCCGAGACGTCCGCCTCGTCCTCAAGGAGGAATGGCTTGTGACACGAGAAAAGCATCCCGGGGTGATCATCCGGAATTTTGGCACAAAGTTCTAATATCAGGAGCAAGAATGTGAGTCCGGTGATGAAAAAAAACACACAAAAGACTTTATAGAGTGAGCGGTATTCGCTCCTCCGCCACTTCGGGTCATCGCCAGGAACAAAATCTCCAAGTCCTATGGTAGTTAAGGAAATAAAACAGAAATACAACGCTTCAAAATAGCTCCAGTCTTCGAGAAACATGAAGAAAATGGCTGGAATTATAATGACAAGCATGATAGCGCCGCACATGATCAGTGATAAATGAATGAAACGCAGATAAGCGGGCGGAACACCACGTACGGTACAAGTACTGCACAGAAACTTTTCCAATACTTCAGTAAACTGAAGGAGTCGTTCTACTATGGCTGTCAACATGATAGCGGTCATGGGAATACCAAACACTGCGAACACCATACAAAATACTTTGCCACCACCCGACAAAGGAGCAATATTCCCGTAACCTGAAAGACAAACTTGCATATCAGATCCTGGGCATATTGGACATGACAAAACTAGTTGATATCTGGAACAAGATTTATTCTTGAATCATAACAGTATATACCGCACTAAAACAGTGGATGGCGCCATAAGGGCGCTCTGATTGGTTACTCAAACCCCAAATATCCTTTGCTATTTACTTCCGAGCAACTCGCGCAGGATTTGTGCCCGAAAGTATTGTGCTCGTTGCAGGGATGAATGATCGTCTCACATTCGTTCCTATAAATAACGTTCATGATCACGTGACTAAAGGAAAACCATAACAAAGACATCGGCCTGTGATGTTTACCGGGTTTCATAACCAGTCCCCTCTACTAACTATGAAATAACTTTTCAGTGAGACCATAGTTACTATGGTGAGACAGAAACGATCTACCTTGTCTCTACTTTCTGTCGTCTGGCGCTTAATGTTTCAGAGCAGCTTATTTCAAGATCTCACCGAAATGACCAATCAAACTGATTAATATTTTTCTTGCGGAAGAAGCTGTGGTTAGTTAGAAGGGTGATTACCGTAATTGCAACAAGCGCTAAGGCCAATTACTTCTGCAAGTGACCTTCAAACCACTGGAACCCATTCAAGCTGCTTTTTCTGATTCGTACTGCTACATAAACTGGGTAGCAAAGGCCTGCTCGGTCGCCGAAAAGAATGAAGTCATTTGAAAATCTGCGTGCTCCACAAAGCGGTGGCCAGGGCTATTCTGTCGACCACTGTACGGGTACGTTCTTCCAATTTATAGTTGGATGCAGTTAGGACATGGGTTGCAGATCAAAGTGCAAGCCATATTAAAACGCTTTTTTTCGGGTTATCACATGTAATGAACTGCCATTTTGATGAGATTGGAGGTGACAGCGTTATTGAAAATGTGTCACCAAGCAACTCCTGAAGGCCAGTCTTCTTCATGAATATTAATTTCACATGCAAGGCTACTCGGACCTTGGGGGATACATTGATCGTGCACCGTTTCTTGCAATAATTTACACACCGTGAAAGAAATATTGCTCATCAACGGCAAAACAGCATATCCATTCTACCATACCTTTATTCAAATTATTGCATTTTTTTTAAGACTGAATTTCTTAAAGATCCTTGAGTAATTAAAATCTTGTGAGTTGCCTTTTTGTGTTTGGTTTTGTTTTACTTAAGTTTTAATATCTTTTTTCAATACGCTGGTGGCAAATTGTTCATTGAAAAATAAATATTGAAATAGAAATATATAGGAAGAGGACAATTATTATTTTCGCAGCGACGAGGAACACAGAAAGATGTATATATTTGACCTCTTAGTTCGCTCTTACAGATCCACTGTTTACTTATTTAAACGGGGGGCAACCTTGCGGAAAATTTTCAAGAAATGTAAATTGAAAACTTGTTTTCCTTTCAACAGTAACAATCGTTATCATCGAAATGTTTTTAATCCTTCTGTTCCTTTGGAAAATTTCAGAGTTAAACCAGCACACGAAGTCAATCATGCCCAAGAGCTGTGCTTACTGCGATTGCTTTGTGATTAATGAAATGCAAGATGTTTCACATGAAAAAACGAAACCATGACTTCAAACATAAATATTATCTGAGACAGCGCACACGCGTAACTTTTGAATGAAATAAATGGTCTAATTTGATCACTGAAACCTTGTAGAATGGAATATTAGGTCGGCCTTCAGCATTTTTAAAGAGGTGTTGACAATGTGCCTCGTACGGTTACCAGCTCTCACAGACTGTCCATCGACTGTCCTTGATAAGACTAAATTCCTAAAGAACAAACAAATTTACACGGATAGTGTGGTAGACTTAACGAGTCTTTTCTGATTTTTGTGGAGTTTTGCTTGGTTTGGTAGTCTGTGAATATGAAAGACCAGGCCGGTTAAAAGAAATCAAAACTGAACTGAACCGACAAATAAAAGTACGTGTCTATTGAAGTGCACGCAATCGAAAGTCCAACACCGGCGGAATAATTGTGATCATTCATTGGCGGTTTAAGCTCGCTTTGGTGGGAAATGGAACTACTTGAATTTAGTAGCGGGTGAATACGGGTTCTATTAGACCTGCTACTCTGTCACCTGCTTTTAACAATTTACACTGACTTACCAATTGTGGTTACGACAGTACCCGCAAAGAAAAACGAACTACCAAATCCCCAACTCCTTTTATCGCTTGCGTTACCGAGTGGTGGTATTCCCATGTCTTGAGCCGCCACAACATGCTTTACAAAGTTTTCAAGTTCTTTGTCAGAAACACAAGGATGTTTCACAAGAAAATCATCTCTCTTTTGTCTCAGATCTGACAAAATGCGCTGCTCATAAGGTCCCTCGATCGACGAGAAAATGGCAGCTCCCACAGACAGGTAAAATATATACACGATCACTAGAGCTATCAAACGAATGCTGGCACGTTCCATGAACGAGATAACTTTGTAAATGATTGGAGCCAAGAGACAATTTGATTTTTTAACCGCTGATTCCTCGAAATGTGGTCGCCCAAAGTTAGGTTTTATGTTATCCGATCACACCTATATTTAGGCTGTTACCAGCCCGAGCATCAACACAAGACCTTGTCAGTTCCTTGCATTCAATTGATCGTTGTGGAGATTTTTTCACTTTATAAAGATTCTTAAAATGTCATAATGAGCTCACACATTAACATAACAATAGTCTCGGAGAAAGCGAATTGAGCGAGTTCTCACAAAATCTACTTCGTACACAAGGAAGATATTTGCAACCGTTGCCCTCAAATTCCGCGTACAGGCACTGGAAATAATGCGAAATCGCTACTTAAAATTAAGAGTCAGCATTCAACCCAGGTTGAAGTGGATAAAAATGGAAATGGAGAGTTTATACACCTATGCAAATATTAATAATAAAATAATAATAATCTTTATTTAACGTGGGTAGAAACACTTAGTAGAAGCTAGTTTACAGGTTTTCCACAAAATAATATTAAAGAAAAAAAAAATATGCAAAGTTAAAATATCAAAAATACTGTGAAGGTGTAGTCTGATCGTCCGGGTGAGTGTAGTCCTGAGAAGGACTGTTGTCGGTGGTAGTGACTGACGTTTCGACAACCTGTGCGGAAGTCATCATCAGAGTCAAGTCCTACACTCACCCGGACGATCAGACTACACCTTCACATGTTACCCCCGGATTCAAACCATTTACTGCATCAAAAATACTATAAAAATCTGAGAAAATGAAAGTATCTAAAAATCTAAAATTACAAAATTCAAGTAACTAAAATGTAATGTTCCTCACTTGTTTGTTAAATTCTCTGCCTCCAGCAAGCGCAATTCATTTGGAATTCCATTCCATTGTTTTACGGCGAAATATTTAAGAGTTCAATCCATGGTTTTTGGCATTTACTTTTGATATCGATAGCATATTATTACCCCTTTAATCATACTTATTACTTCTGATTTTAACAAGTTCCTTGATGCATACAGGGGCGGTGCCTAGAAAAGAAGCGTTTATGGTCATTAACATGTCCTCGACACGACGGTTTTCCAACGTGGTTTCTAAACCTACTCGCTTTAGCAGTTTCTGATATGTTGATGTTTTATCTTTATAATCATATCTTAATCCACGCTCATTTACTTTTTCTATTTTCTTTGTTTCTCAAGCTGCAATGATGCCATAGCTGATTGCAGTAATAAAAATGAGGCAGAACAAGCGCTCGATACAATAATTCCTTAACTTTGCACAGAAGAATGTTTTTTTAGCCTGTTTAGCACATTTACCTGCCCCCCCCTACTTTGCGACACACGGACGCAACATGTCCGTAACACTAATCAGGAACGCTTCGATGGTATTAGCACACCATTTGCAAACTGACCACCGTCAAACCAAACATTAAATAAGAAATGGATATGAAAGTTTGAGTGAACATCTTCTAACAGGGAGCAAACAAGAAAACCTTTGGTTAACTTAAGGACCCACCTTAGACTCCTAGTTCGCAATTTAACATTACAATTTTAATACTATTCAATAATTTTAACCAATCTACAATATTGTTAAATCAAAGAATTATTAGAATTTAATTGTATTGATTTATGTTGAGTAAATGAAACGTTGTTGTTGTCAGCCTAAAGTTGCGGCAATTCTCGCGTTCAAAAGAATCATCTCACTGAACACTTCTAATTTTCAAAGTAATCACGACATAGGTCGTCGCATCTCGTCCGAAAACCAATGCTCTCCAAATTGGAAAATTTTCCTTAAAGTTATAGAAAGGAGTTTCCACTGGAACTTTAAATTCATTAGACGACAAAATCAAGAGTGATTTTTCTGGCAACTCAGTCGCTTATTGTAATGCACAACCTTTATCTATTCAATGGATAGACATTCTTAACTTGGCGGGTTACTCCTGTTTGCCGAGAAGCTAAACTAGTTGTTAACTGCCGCAATGATAACAGTTCATACGCATGAGATCCTGACAACTGAGGTCAATACGTGTCAAGTGCAAAAGTTATTCATAAGTCTGTTTATGTGTAATTTTGCCACAATTTCAAATTTTTCATGATTTTGACCAAAATGAAAGCAAGGTTGCTTTCTGGGAGGTTTCTGTTAACTGCTGTCTTCTTCTCTTTACTCTTGAGGTCCCCATCTCCACATCGACAGTTGATGGTCGTCTTGGATTTCTCTCTGAAGCCAACTCCTTTATAGTGGCTTTATTTAAGCACAAGTCTATATGTCTGTTAAGTTCAGTCATAACATCTTGACCTCTCTTGAACTTTTGCTCTAATTCGCATACAGGACAAAACACTGCTGATGGATTTGTATCGTCAGAATGTTCCTTCAACAAAATGGAATCTGAAGTTGAAACAGAACCAGATAGTGACGATGATTTCTTTGAAACTGAGTTTGAAGCAACACCCTCAGACGAGAGAGAAGCAAGGCAGGAACCATACTGGTCTGTCCTCTGACAAGCGTATGCTCCTGTCATGACGTCACTTTCTTCTGGATAGTGTTGACTCAGTGAAGGGAGACCAAAATGTTCCCCTACGTTCAATTGTTGGGCGGTTGGAAAAGACACTAGCATTCCCTGGGACTTAACATTTTGCTTTTGCTTTAAAAAACCTGTTATAGTGTTCTGCTTAGCTTCTTTTGACGAGTTCGAGCTTGTATCTTGAAGATTTGATAAACGTACCCCCATGAGGCGCAACTTTAGGGGCTCAGGAAAACATGTATTCATTTCATGTTTGAGAAGCTCTTTTGCAATTAAGGAAATTTCCTCGTACGTCGAAACGGGATAACTGGTGGATGAAGACCGAGATTTTATTTCAAAGTTCACTGTTTTCAGCTTTATCGTGACAGTCTTTCCTTTAAGTTCTTGCCCTTTTATATCTTGTGCCAGTGATTGACAAAGCTTGCCACACATATCCAGTAGCTCCGTGGGTTTGCTAATCTCTGAAAAGGTTTCTTCTGTTCCTATACTTTTCCTTTTCGATTCTGTCGTAAGGGATGTGGGTCCCAAACCAAGAGAAACTTCTATCAAGAATTTGAAGCTGATTGGTGAATGTAGAAGATAGAGCAAGTCTCGTTTCCTGTATAAATCTTCACATGTCTCAATTCCAAGAGCTTTCAACATCTGTTCACTGACTCGCCCAATTCCGCTGATTTTTCTGATAGGTAGGCTGCGTATAAATTCCATGACATCATTACGATTTGGTTTTAGATAGAACTGTCCGTTCGGCTTGTTACGATCAGAGCAGATCTTTGCTAGCATGGCATTTGGTGCTATTCCTGCGCTAGCTGTTAGTTTCGTCTTCTGCTCAATTCGAAAACGCAACTCCCTGACAGCTTCCTCCGCATCGGTACCAAACTCAACAATTTCTCCCTCTATCTGTTCAAGGTCTGGATGCATTTCGTTCTTTACCATTCGATGAATATTGCATTTAGATGTCAAGAATCTCTTCTTTTCTTGACCTTTGTGTCTCTCAGTAAGATGCTCTGTAAGATCCAAGTATGCTTCATCTAAACTGGCCATCGCAAAATTAGGGTCATACTCTGCTAAAATATCTTGCACTTGGCGGCTGTATTCCTTGTATTTTTCAAAGTGCGGTGGAACAATGATCAGTTCAGGACATAACTTCTTGGCGATAAACCCTGGCATGGCTGCCCTTACACCATAACGTCTAGCTGGGTAGTTTGACGTAGACAACATTGAGTTACCACCCACAGCCATAGGTTTGTCACCCAATTCAGGATTGTCCAAGATTTCCACTGCAGCATAAAAAGCGTCCATATCGATATGAACAAAGGTACGGCTTAAATCACGCTTCCTCTCCAACTCTTCTACAATTAGGTCGATGGCCTGGAAAGCCACTTTTCTTTGCTGCTGGGTGAGTTTTTCAAGTGACATGTTCTGTTTAGCGATCCGTTCAGCCACTTGCTTTTCTTTCTTTAATTCATTTTCATAGAACTTAGAGCCTTTACTCGCTTCGAATATGATCTGGTTAATTTTTTGCTTATCTAAACCCATCATGCCTGCCTTATGATCATTAAGCTCCATCCTGGAGAGGCCTTTTGCTTTGTCGTCGTTTTCATAAACATCTTCTTTGACTTGGAGATTTTCATACCTCGAATTCTCCTCCGTTTGCGCATTTTTCTGTGAAGGGTTGTTGCTATAATTTATCCACTGAGTTCCTTCTCCAATATACATTTCAGCCCAATCGTTGGATTCGTCTTCGTTCTCCAAATCATCGAAATCGTCCTCATCGTAGAAGTTACATCCGTCATCCGCCATATTGGCTTTAGTAACCAGGCCAAAAATAGTGTTTCCCGAGGGGGGTAAACCTCGGAAGGGAGATTTTTGTAACGTGAACAGACAAAGGAAAGGCGAAGTCCCAGGCTCAAGTGACTCCGCATAATGATTTTGCTCATTGGAATATGTTTCTCTTTTTTTTCACCAAAATGATCTATTAAATAAATCATCGCCCAATTTTCGTAAGAAGGCCAATGGATTGAGCTTCTGCACCAGGTCGTTCAAAGCTGGGTTAAGGGAGGGGTTAAGGTAACCCAAGGTTAGTGTGAAATTTGATTTAATGTTTGAAAGCTTAAAAAGGGAAATCAGTTTGAATCTTTTTGTCTGCAATTTGATGACTGGATGTTCTAAAAAGTACTAAATGGCCTTCAAACAACTGGGCCCTCAGGATCAACAAGCTATATTAAAAAATGTTGGCAGTAAATAGGACAAAACAGGGAAGAGACCTATGCTTAAGAAATTCTGTGTTTCAATAACTAGTAGACATGCGGCAAAACTATTCATCATGTCAGATCAGTCTTGCATAAGCCAGCACATTCTGAAAAACTTAATTTCCATTCATGTCAGTTAGCACATTGCAAAGGGGGTACCACAGAAAGTCACAGTGTATGGGAATAAAATTCAGAAGTCTCCCCGATCCCCCCCTCCCATCTCCCCACATCCAGAATTCATGAATGATAGGTGTATGGCCTGTATGTGCAATACATTTTTTGAAGCTAGTGATCTTTTTTTCTGCATTTCTTTTTCTTTTAAAGTAGCCATAACTTCTTCAAATTCAAATATAATGTCTGAAATTATGTTGGTGATGATTATTTTTGTACTTAATATCATAAGAAGTCTAGATGTTTATAATTATGAGTCAAGGTTATTTTGTTTTATTCTCTTCAATTAACTCTAAGTTTCCCAAATTGTAGAATTATGAAGCCATTAATTGAATACAATACTTTCTAGACACTTTTGGAAATTTCAAAGTGTAGGTGTGAAAACTGAAAGCAAGCCAGAGTGAGGGAGTCGTCAATGAATAGTATGTCTCATTTTAAAACAGACATTGAGTTTATTGTTTTGTGTGCTATATATTGAGCAGATGACAGTTGCTCAGTATAACACAAATGCTGAAGCCTACTTACTATGGTAAGCTAAAATTTTTTTAATTGTAATGTCATGACAATGATAACACTTATAATAGTATTGGCTTAATTCAAATTTAAATCAAATTTGAATGTTTAATTCTTATTGTATAAATTATAACTTAGGAACATGCAGTTGGGAATCATTCAGCAATAAAGGCCCAAACTACTAACATGTTGGACTTACAAACAGGGCTTCTTACACAATGCTTGATGAGGATGCTAATTAATTTGGAAATGTATCTGATGAGTCTTTTGGCCAAGTAAGAACACTGCACATACCAGCCATGAAGTATTTTTCAAAAGTATCATATTTTATCGATTAGACACTTGACAATTGTTCAGGAATTAAATTTTGGGCACTTAGAGTAGTTCCTGGTAAGTAAGGGGTAGGGATTATAGCTATACTCTTTGCTCTGTATAGTTAGTGTTAACACTGATACACTGGTGTCTTTGTCGTGTCTGTCATGTCTGTTGTCATTATGTTCAAACAGAACATAATGAGTCCAACATTTTCCTTTTCTTCACTAGGATGCCAGCAGCACAAGGTTATTTTTCACCATGTAGGATGTAGTCAATATATTTTATTAACCAAGTGCGAGGGCCGTACTGGGAGAATATCGGCCCGAGGTCTTGACAGTACGGACCTCGCTGTGCTTGATCCGTACAACAAAGACTTCAGGCCGATATTCTTCCAGTACTGTCCCGAGCAAGCTTGGTTAATAAGAGATTTTATTATACGACTGAAGTTCAAAGGGACACAAGTGCGGTATCATTCGGTACCATTCGGGACAGTGCCCGGTCCAATACTGAGCGAATATTGACCGGCAATAGAGCATTTTGATCGGTTGATTTTAGTTATTGGCCCTCTGACTGCCCAAGTCCTGTAATAAAAACCTTTACACCCTATTAAAAGAAAGTGTTAGGGTCTTTTCATAGTCTTCTCAGCTTTTAATTTAATATGTTTCATCAATTTTATGGTTGGAAGAGTCTATCTATGTCTATTTATGTTCCTAGCATTTAGCAAATAACTATTGCAAATACATTTTAATTAGAAGTTTGTAAGTGCTTTGGGTGTCTTTGTTTATTCTTGATTGTTTCACACTCAGTTGACACCTTAATCACCTTACCATTAGTATTTTAAAGTTCTTCTACAGTTGTTATTATTCTAAGTTAGATTTTTAATGTAAATAGTTTGTAAGCTTTATTGAAAGATTTGTACGTTTTATAATAGAGATTCATGTTTAGTTATTAAGTAATATTTAACAATTATTCGCTGAAGGCAAAGTGAATATTGGTGAATATTCCCCAAGACGAAGTCGAGGGGAATATTCACGAGCCTGAGGCGAATAATTGTTTCAGCATAATTACTCAGGTGATTATAAAAATGAGCAAAGGAATGTTAAATTCACCTCACTGGAGGTGATTATAGCCGAATATGATGCCATTCTCGGCCAATAAGAGCGTGAGAATTTCTATAATCATCTGAGTAATTATACTAAATATTATTGTGATGCCCTTTTGAATATTGTATAGAAAAGGTGCAATAGAAGTAATAAACATTATTATTATTATTGATCACCAAATTAAATTTCCACATAAATTCCCAAGCTTTCTTTATTTAATTGAAGGTACACAATTAGCTTTTGAAACTGGTAATTAAGTCAACAATGTTTTGGAGGCTGGCCTCCAAGTCAACCACGATTTGAGAGAGTTCAGTCAGACCATTCCCAGTTAGTAAATCTGAGTGGTATTTCTGTAAGAGGCAAAAAAAGCAAACAAACAAACAAAAAACCATAATGATTATCTTAAGCATCTTTCAAGGGGATCATGCACAGTCAAACCTCTCTACTGTTGGTACTGGCAGACTGCAGCAAAGCATTTGTATTGGATAGGGTTTCAGTTATATAGAGGTCACCACCATGACATAACTTTCATGATGTTATCCTTACAGAAACTCACTAAAAATGCAACGCCACATCTAAAAAAAGTAGTTTTTTAGTTTCTGTAAATGATCTCCAACCCTTAAAACCCTTACAGAGCCCAGCATCTAATACCTCTTTAGAGATAGTAATACTACTGAATCATCAAGATTAGAGAATAAAGGAAATGATTTCTAACCTAATGAAGGTTTGATTGTTAAACAAATTCTCCTTGACCAAAGGAAATGCATGAAGTGGGTGTACAGTGTGTGTGCGTGCATGCATGTGTGTGTGTGTCTGTGTACAGTGTATGGAGAACATGCCCACGTAAAGTGTAAGGGGGTTAGCTTACAAGTGCAGTGAACATTACCCAAAGTAAAATTTGATGGACTCTTTTGCCTTAAAAAGTCTGCATGTATTTGCTTTTGCAAATCAAATTGACAGAAGCAAATGAATGATAAGTAATTCTGAACGAATAATTAAACTTTCATGATTTTGATTTGGTTATTTTTGCTGCCAATGATTGAAAACAGACAATAATCAATCAAACTGAATAAGCTATTACTGTAGCTGTAGTATTTTTCCCTGTGAGCTAACTAAATTGGTAATGTTCCAGGTCTTGTGAAAAAGAACAACCTACAACCTACTTACTTTGGCCTTTGCAATAAGCTGCTTGAGAGTAAGTTTAGCTGATGATAAGAGCTGTACTGCTTCAGCTTTATTCTCCTTATATTGACTCACTTGAATGTAAACTACAAAAAAAATTACCACTGAAAAAATTAGTTGAAACTCCATGGTACTAAGTTCAGTTTCTATTTCAAACAGTAAGTTGTAACTGGGAAGTAAAGAGATGGTTCTCAGTCATTTGTGACCATCCAGCCCAAGTCAAAATATAAATTTGAGGACAGATTCAACCTGGAAACCAAGAGCAACTGAAAACAAGGAATGGTAGAACACTCCAAACCGTGATCAAAAGTGACTAATGTTAGGGTCATTGCCATACACTAGGGTCATTGCCTACATCCTTTCTTGGTTAGTTAGAAGACACCTCATAATATCAATAGTGGTGTTTTACAGTTTGACTCACCTTGACTGAGGTTAGATGTGAGTTCTGCTACTGCTTTAAACTGACTTAGATCAGTCTCCCATCCTGGAGCCTGGGTTCTGGTGCGATGAGCCTTCACCAGGAAGTTAAGTGCCTGAGAAATAATATATAAATACAACATTAATCTCTGGAGCTTTTAAGTTAATACTATAACACTAAAGGACACAGGAGACATCTTGAAAAGATGTTTGGTTCAGCTGATCCCTTTTGATTCCATTCTGGCTGCCTGTATTTACCTTTTGATCTCCTAATTTCACCTGGTGCCACAGTATTAATAATTTTCATCAAGTGTGAATTAATCCACCATTTAATTAGTTCTCTGCCATTTGATCCTTTAAGTGACTTGGTGATCTCATGGTTTGCTCAATGATTGCCCTTTTCCCTCTTTTAATTCTCAAAAGTTATTTCACCAAAAGGTGCAAGCTACTTCAAAAGCAAACTGTGCAGGGGTAAGTTCAGTTATAAGATGCACTCAATCAATTTGACATAGCAGAGTTTTCACAGACCTTCTCTTTATCTTCTTGAGACTTGCTATTCCAGTAGAGGTCAAAGTAGAGCTTCCACAAATCAGAATTGTTGGTTACCTTGGCAGATGAAACCAGTGATTTATTAGATCAAGTTAATCCCCTACAATCACAAAGTTAGAACTGATTTTGACCTGATTATCAAATTGAGACAACAACACTACCTACAAATACACTACCTACAAATACACTACCTACAAATACACTACCTACCTGAGATGTTTGTCTTCCCATTAGTTCAAGCAGCTTTGGTTTAAGACAAGATGCTAAAAGTCAAGTAATCATGGGTTATCATGTGTTATTTGTTACTTTTCTCCTTTGTGCTTATAGGAGGGAAAGGGAAGAACAAGGTCATGTACAAACATTAAATTGAATGGGAGTGACAGTTGAAAGTCATTCGGATGTCTGGGTGCATGAAAAGTAACCCAACCAAAACCTACTTGCTAAATAGTAGACAGGGACACTGAGAATATTGTTTATCTATTCAAGTGCATCACATACTAGATGGTAAGGTATTTTGCTAGTGTTTTGCAACTGGGAACCTTGGAGTAGAGGCTCAACCAGATGATGTGCTATTTTAAAAGTAGCTTGACACTGCATGGGTCTAAATGTTTTTTACTGGAAATAAGGGTTTCACAGAAGGTCTTTCCTCACTGCATTGGCTAGAGGATGTTCTCTGCTCCTTGTGGTGAGTAAGGCAAACATCATGGGGTCCTGACTTGTGCCTACTTCAGTTATCCTGGACACTCCCATTAATGTGACTTAATGAGGAGAAGAACCTAAGAGAGTTATTGTGGCTCCCACAATTTACTTGTGCTTGTGCTTGATTACAGTATTATGAGAGAGCATATCTAGTAAACAATAATTAAATCTGCAGAGGAAAAAGTTCAGAAAGTAAAGATTATTACCTGATTGTTCATGATTGTCCAAAGTTCCCTGGTTCACTGCCTTCACCAGAATGCCCAAAATCTAAAACAAAGACAAAACTAAAGATGAACTTCACCCAAGAATCTACCTTAGGGACAGATTCTTGGATTTAACCATTAATATGGAGAGAAGTCTAAAATTAATAACGATTTTATGGATGATTTAACACGCCATTGTAGAGAGGTCATTTTGGGACAAATTTTAATGGCTAGTTTTATTTAAGAGAGAGTGAATGGATGTGTGGACCATCTGCTGGACAAAATACAGGTGGCTGTTCATGGAGGTTTGATTGCATTGGTGTAGCAGAACATTAATTTGCCAACAGCTAAAATTTGTAAGTCTTGTTATAAGAAATTCTACACTAACCTCTGTATCACAGTACTTATCACGCAAATCCATCATACGATGATATGCTAACAATGCATCATTAAATGCACCAACATCCACACTCACCTGAAACAGAAATTAATAGTGCCTTATATATCTTTCACTTCTCTTGTGCACATTGCTTCCTTTATTAAAACAATTTTTCTGCATGCTCATCACAAGACATTTTTTGTATGCACCAAAAGTTAAGCATGACAGTTTTTTGAGCAAAAAATGTAAAACTAAACACAAAGAACAAAACATTGGAACTTTGACAAACTTAGCAAACAAGATACCAAATGACAGTTTAGTGATCGAGTAAGACCAAGTGAAATAAACCTTTGAATGATACAGCATCAGGAAGAGCACATCTCGTTAAGCTGGTTTCTGCTCCCTTAAGTACCTGTATTGTTATCACAGGTTCATAACATGTATTCAAGAGTACTACAGTTTTGTTGTTACTGTCTTAAGTGCATTGAGCAAAGGAAGAACAAAAATGTAACAATTAAATGAAAAAAGAAAAGAAAAGAAAAACAGGAAGGACAGAAATGTACAATTAAGTTACCACTAAGAAATTTTCCCACATGTGCCAGCTCTCATAATTCATTTTCAGACCTTCCTTGAGAGCAAGATGTGCTTGTGATCTACAATTACAAGCAAAATCAATCATGACATGATAGGCCCATTCTTAACATTAGACATAGTCTTCTTAATAATTGTAACATCCATAGTGGCCTTCCACAGTCTCAATTAATCCATCCAACCTATCTCTCATGAACAACCATTCTTATTTTTTGGTTGTTTGTGGAAGAATTGATGTGGCCTCCATGCAGTGGCTTTGTACTGACCCCAGTCTAAGGAGAATCATAAGGAAATTGTGGAGATCACAGGCTGATGAGCTGGTTAACCTATTGACATCCAGTGCGCCCATATGCGCCCATGGGGACCCACACCCTTTCTACGCCTTGTGACGTCATGACTTTTAACCCTGGAGCACGCATTTGAGCACGTACTTGAACAGGTTGAAAATATCTTACAGACGATACCAGAATGAGCGCAATTGAGTGAAGGAGATTGGAGGAATAGCCAAAAAACCATGTCACTTTGACCTGAAAATCTGCACGAAAATCGTGTTTCAATACCCACCTACCTTTCCGAGCATGTGCTTTGAAAATAATGAGTAGTTTCTGAAAAATCTCTACACCYAAATGAAGCCTACTCAATTTCCAGCAAGTGAGGAGAAACTTCAGGCAAGGAGAGGGGAAAAAAAGGGCAGGAGAAAGAGAGAAAAGTAAAAGTCGTAAGTGGGGCATGACTTTTCAACCCAAAAACTGTCGAAATTTTGCTTTCTGCACGTGCCCGAGATTTTCAGGCCACCATTTTGCATTTGGATCAAAAGGCCGTCGAGTGCATGAGCTGTCAAGGGGTTTTTGGTAAGTTTGAGCTTTTTAAACCACAACAGTGACCCCAAATCTGCTCGACTAGCCTCAAAACACAGTTTTCCACAAAAGCTGTGGCCATTAATGGGTTAACCTTCTCTTTTAAGGCTCTACATCACATATGGATTTTGAAGTTTCATGATTGTTCTGAGTGTTCACATCACTTACAATACCTCAAAGCAAACAAAAACAAAAATTTCTCTACTTACTTCAGGCCTTTTTTGATATAGACATTGGCAAGATTATTCCAAGCTTCCCCATTCTGTAGAGATGATTTTATTAGTTTATACTTAAAAGCACAATCCAACTGCAGCATAAAGCTAGAAAAAAAAAATGCCTTTCAAGCGGTAACCTCAAGCATACCCAACTATCAAGTGACACACAGCGATGGAATGCTTTAGATGCAAGTTCTAAATTTTCTGAAGCCATTGCAGCACAACCAAGAGAAAACCATACATCTTCCTAAATAGAGACAAAAAAAGAGAAATAATATTATTGACCATGACCATTCTGTTTTTTTTTTTTTGTAGCTAAAGGCAAACAAAGTGTTTTTCCTTCACCACAAAGCACTTTCTACGCTTGGATGTATTCTGCTTATGTAATTAAGTACCCTGATTGGTCAAAAAGCCACATTTACTGCACTAGCTGGTATACCCATAGTGCATTTTTTTAGAAGCAATAGACAGCACTTTCTATTGGTGGCACTGCATGGTTTAAGCTTCAACAAATAAAAAATAGTGTAACTTGCAACATACCTGTAATGAGTTGATTGCCAATGACTTCTGGAAACATGGTATTGAGTTGCAGTACTGAAAGTACAATACACAGCAGTTCTATCAATTTACACCTCATGTTAATTTGTCTAATCCATCCATGTTTTTCATTTGAGCAACTCACACTTGAAAACATGACAAAAGTATTGAAATGAAACATGATAGTCAGCTGGTTTATGTTTCACTGGTGTGTAACAGCAAAGCAAACTTGATGAGAAGGGTGCTAGTAACTACTAACACTTTGACACAATTAACATACAGTTATATTTGCAAAAAAACTCATTTGTAAATCCACTCCAATTGCAGTGTAATTTGCTTTAGCATTTCCTTTCTATTCCTTTTTTCTTTCATTTTCCCTCCTCGATTTTAAATATTTCACTGCTATCCAGTCAAGTCGCCGACAGTTCAACTTGCCAACACCAACTCGCCGACATATAAAATCAAGTAGAGAAGTCGGCGAGTTGGTCCTCAATCCAGTACAACTTATTAGATTTCACTCTGTCTGATATAAAACTAACTGTAATAACTGCTCCTACAGGTTGAAAGAAAAAACTGCAAGAAAACATGAAACATTTTATGAATAATTAAGTATTAACCTCCTTAGCCCTTAAATGCAGATATCCCAGAGATCTTTGAGCTCTAGAACTGTGGCACCCTGATAGTTCCCAGGCTTTCTCATAGCAAGTAGCATCCTGCAATGATAGAAGTAATACAACACCTTTCAAAATTTCTGTTGACATGCAAGTTTAGGGCCTGTCGCAACCCATCCAAAAACAGGTTGTCCCAAACCAAGCATGTTTGGCCACAACTTATCACCCTTTTCATTGACCAAACTTTAGTGCATGTCTTGAGTGACCACTGACATTAGAAGGTTGTGTGAAGGACTGCTAATCAAGAGATCTCATGGTTTACCACCATCAGTACCAGACAAAATCCCCAGCCACATCATACTTTACATATATTAAAAATAAGATTAACTGAAATAAAATAACGAAAGCCAAACAACAGACAAACAAGAACTTCAGCAAAAAGGGTCACCATGAAATGAAATGGACATCAAAGCCCAGGATCAGTAGAAGTGAATGAGGGCTGTAAATGGTCACCCTTCACTCCTCAGAGTAAAATGGGATAAGGAAAGAGAAAGCTCTACTTATGGCTACCAAAGAAAAAGTGACAAATCCAAAATGCTGAATATTAGAGATGATATCATTGTTACTATAATTACTGGAATTTCTGTACTATTGTTACTGTACCTTTAATGTATCACCTAACAGACACCATAACAGTACAGTTTCTTTTATTTTAAGCTGATCTTTGATAAGAGCTTCTGCCTGGCAAGGGGGGGAAAAGCAAAATGTAAAAAATAAATAAATAATAAATAAGCATGACTTTGCTGACAAAGTAAGCAGCCAATTAAAATCATATTTTCTTATACATTTTTAAAGTGTGTTTATACCAGCAGAGCTCAGTGTGAGCCTGATCTCAAGATATTATAAATATTAAGGTGCACATTTAAACAATTCTCACCTTTGCATACCACCCTAAATTCTGATAACAAAAAACAACATTCTCCCAAGAATGCAATCGTTGAAAAATTTCCAAGGCACTTTTCACCACACCCAGATCAAGAAGCAGTTGGGCTAAATCTTTCTGATGAAAGGAATTAGAAATAAGAAAATTTATTTACAAAGGTCAACTCAGAACAAAGTTTTTAAGTATCAGTGAAATGGTCATTTATTTATGTGCACCTGGTTGAAAGTTTTTTGCACTAAATTTACACTGGAAGCAAATACCCAAGGTTGTATGATTCTGTACATAATCTAGTTGTAAACTTTAAAAGCTAGAGCTCCCTTAATCTACCTGATGCACCTGTAAACATAACAAGGAGCAGGCAAAAGAAAGAAAATATGCTCCACTAAATTTCAATATGTCATTCTCCCAGCATCTAATTCATCCACTGTTGTCAAATTTGCATCATCATATCACAACAAGGAAAATCAAGGGAATTAAATTCCAAATTTAAGTAAGAAAGAATATATAATTTTTAAACATAAACAGTACATGGTTTGTGAAAGTGTAGTGTGATCGTCCAGGTGAGTGTTGCCCTGAGAAGGACTGTTGTCAGTGGTGGTGACTGACGCTTCAACAACCTGTGCAGAAGTCATCATCAAGTCAAGTGAATAGTTGTTGTCAGTAGAATAGTTGTTGTCACTATTCACTTGACTTTGATGATGACTTCTGCACAGGTTGTCGAAACGTCACTCACCACCACATACAACAGTCCTTCTCAGGACTACACTCACCCAGACAATCACACTACACTTTCACATGTTACTACCGGGTTCAAACCATTTACTGCAGTACATGGTTTGTTTACAATCATTCTACAATATATCAGTGTCTGCTTTGTGGACAAAATCCATTCACCTGAATATTCCACTTTGATGGTAAAGGCACACAATAAAACAAAGATTGCCTATCCACAACCTAAAATGTTAGATGATAAATTACCAAAGAATATGACATGTAGATGGAATACCATGCTGGAAAAGACCATGGAGAAAATAACCAATTAAAAAGATGACTAGAATTAAATACTGCCATTTATCATATCAAGTTTCATACAAATAAAGGGGGACATAACAGCTATGTTAAGTGGCTCAACTGTGTTGATGAGAAAAAATGGAAGGTGGCCATATTGACTTGGCTTGCTTACCAGCTGCTGTTCGGGAACTGGAGCCCATGCTCCTCCCCAAACCCATTGCTGTTGGGAGGAACGAAAAAGACTGGACCCGAGAGAGCAGCAGAAATAGAGTCTACATATTGACAAGCTTTACAGAAACAAGATGCAAACACTTAACACTCAAAAGAACATTGACTGACCTTTGGAGAGGAACTTTCTATGGCATCGACCAGAGTCTACGAGAAAGGGAGTAAATATCAGAGCTTTTAAAATTCATTTATCTCCAACAGCCACACACAACCATGGATATGTAACAATATGACAACCCTACCATGAGGATGTCAAAGGGTTTTTATGTGATGCGGGATTAAGGCCAAAATTAATATAATATGCATGAATTTTACTGAAAGCGAGTGTGATTCAGGAATTTATGAGCTAGTTAGAGACGTGATTTACCTCCTGAAAGGTATGTGACCCTTGAATTTTTTCATTCATTTCATAAAAACCTCAAGATTTCCCTGAAATCTTGCACACCAAAAGAAAAATTAAGTTTTTCCATTTAAATTTGTAACATGAAATGCTGTTTCAAGTAAACGCGATGCATTAATTTTTCTCAAATTCATGCATAAAATGGGATCAGAATCTCCCCTTTGCTACCCAATACCCGGGCATGGTTAGTTGAGACATGAGAGCATGAATAATTTAAAAACTAATAAATCTAATCTAAATTTGAATGCCCCAGCAGCACACTGTAAATGCCACTTGCTGACCTGTATCTGCATCATGGACCTCTCCATTCTCCTTTTAGAGTCCTTTTCCAGTTTGCTTCTCATCAGTAATGCCATCATCTGTACACACCAAGCCTTGGGATTACGGGTGACTGCCTACACAACACAATTTTCAATTTTTCATTAAAATCTCTGATATTTGAGACCTGATAACACATTAGTTAATAAGTGTTATAACAGTTAAGGGATACTTAATAAATAATTTCAATATCATGATTATGTTTTGCAGTTGGCTGAAAGGGTCTTCTACAGTTTCTAAGGTTATTTACTGTCATTCGTCAGACGATTTAAGAGCTCTTTTAAGAGCCTCCACTGTAAGTAATTTCAGTGAACCTTTCAACTCCCATAGGTGATTAGATGTAGCTTCTTACTATAATATCCATAATTATCCAGTAAACAGGTAACACAACACTCATTACAGATTAATCAGACAGGTAGAATTTGTTTCCCCAATCTAACACCAAATTCTTGCAGCTGATCTTTTGCTTAATGAAATAAGCGTGTTTTTTGGAGTATTTCTTTGCAAAAATTCTCTTATTTGCTCAAATCTTCAATTTTCTGTGCCCAGTCAAAATACGGAAAATCAGCCGCCATCTTGCCCCACGACCAAGTTTAAAGAGGTAACGTGACATCAAATCGAGAACACGAAAGTCTGCATTTCACACATTTTCACTTGTTTGGGAAGGTTGTAGTCAATATTGTCTGAAAATATGCCGACTAAGTGTGTTGTAGAAGGATGTAGCAACGTGCGAAATTTGCAAGAGGGTATCGCGCTTCATACATTCCTCATATAACACACCTAGTCGGCATATTTTGGACAATATCGACAACCTTCCCAAACAAGTGAAAATGTGTGAAATGCAGACTTTGGTGTTCTGGATTTGATGCCACATTACCCGCTAGAGCCATTCCTGTTTAAACTCGGTCGTGGGGCAAGATGATGGCCGATTTTCTGTATTTTGACTGGGCACAAAAAATTAAAGATTTGAGCACATTAAAAAATTTTTGCAGAGAAATACTCCAAAAAATAAGCTTATTTCGTTAAGTGAAAAAAATTTTTGGGTTTAGGTGCACTTTAAGGATTAGAAAGGGCAAAGCACTGCCTAACTTTTTATTCATTCTCACCATAAAAAATATGATCCGATGTATACTGACATCTTTTACACCAAAAAAAATAGTATTCCCATCTACTACATTTTCTTTTCCCTCTTTCAGCAATAATAAGCAGCAAAGATAAGTAAACACTCACCTCCAGATATGCCAGCAAGTTTTCTTTGTCAAGTCTTTGCACAGCCTGACTCTTTTGATATTCATGACTACAAATAATAATCACAAGACAAGGTAGTATAAACATGCCATTCAGTTGAAGAGTTCAGGCCTTTTTCCCAAAGCTCTTTCTACTTTGATACTCCAACAATACAAATTTCTCATTTGTTTGTGAAAAGAAATAAAATGATATGTGAAAAACCTCACTGCTGAATATCACCAGGCTGAGAGTTTGATATAAACAAGGAGGCAAGCACAAACATAGTTTGGCTTAACTCATTTTTGGCTTGTCAACTCTCATGAAGCAACAATCTTAAACTGTACTAAGTTTGACTCAGCACAGCCATTAAATTCTGATCAGTACCTTTTATCATAGAAGAAGCTAAGCCTTACATTTACAATGTGGAGTACTCGATACATGTACAACTACAATTAAAGTACATATGATGCACGATCCTTCGCAGTAGATAGCGCTATTTATGCAATAGGGAAAATCAGACCTGAAAAAAATCAGGCCTGTACGGGATACTAGTGCAGCACTCTACCAATTGAGCTAACAAGCCAACTGGGAGCAGGCCATTAAGTTGATATGTAATAAACCCATGATGATAAATCAGATACAATGGATATATGAAGTTCATATATTTTGAACTGCGGTATTAAATATGTATGATGCACGATCCTTTGCAGTAGATAGCGCAATTTATGCAATAGCGAAAATCAGACCTGAAAAAAATCAGGCTCAGGTCTGATTGTCGCTATTGCATAAATAGCGCTATCTACTGCGAGGATCGCACATCTTACGTATTTAATACCGCAGTTCAAAATATATGAACTTCATATATCCATTGTATCTGATTTATCATCACGGGTTTATTATGAATCAACTTAACGGCCTGCTCCCAGTTGGCTTGTTAGCTCAATTGGTAGAGTGCTGCACTAGTATCGCAGAGGTCAGTGGTTCGAATCCCGTACAGGCCTGATTTTTTTTTTTTTCGGTCTGATTTTTGCTATTGCATAAATAGCGCTATCTACTGCGAAGGATCGTGCATCATACGTATTTAATACCGCAGTTCAAAATATATGAACTTCATATATCCATTGTATCTGAAATAAAGTACAATTAAATCATTCTGCAGGTAGCTAAATCAGTTCTACAGTAAATGGTTTGAACCTAGGGGTAACATAATAATAGTTTAGTCTGTTCAACTGTGTGTAGTCCTGACTGAGGTCTTGACAACCTCAGCAATAGTCATCAACAGAGTCAAGTGAAAGTTGTTGTCAGTCAAATTTACTAACTTAGACTGGTTTGGGTGCACTTATTGTCAGTTTGTCTAAGATTATCAATTCAGCCAAAAGATTGACTCTTAGATCAGAGTAAAATGGGTTCTTTGACTTAACACATAAACACGATAAATGTATCTTACGTTAGTCCCAAAATGACAGCCTGATCTAGTGGACTGAGAACAGTTCCATTCGTATTTTGAAGATTTGTGTCTTTGAGTTGGATTTTATTCAGAAATGTATCATCAGTCAATGGAACATCCTGAAAGGAAAAAAAAAACAGCCATTATCAATGGAAAGACTCGGCTTGACAAGTTGTACATGAAAGAAATGATCGATATCTGACTTTTACATGATAGTGATCAAGTACAAAAACTCATCTTAAAGGCAAACTACCATTAACCCCTCTACTCCCATGGGTGAATAAGACAGAATTCATCCTTACAATATCAAATACAATATCTCACAGACAAGTAATGAGAACATAGAAAAATGTAAGTTAGAGGATTATATATAACATCATAAGAATTGTATGGCAGAAAGAAAGCTGGACAATTACTAATAATATCTGGTAGTGAAAGGGTGAATGCCAGGATAATAAAAATTCAAAATATAAGTTTAGAACAAGTAGTGGCCTGATTAAAGTAGTGACTCTACATAGTATTATCTTCTCTTACTAGGTACCCTGATTATAATTTGGCTGATACACTTACATGATTTAAGAATAAAATGTGCAGAAACTATCCCCATGCACTTACCCTAGGAAGGTTTTGTTTATAACACATATCTGTACACTCATCTGCAAGTCAAAATAAAATATAAACTTTAAGTTTTGGTTAGTAAATTAAAAGAGCTACATGTTATGTTTGAAGGTTGGTAGAAAAGTTAATTCCAAAAAGGTAATTACAGTGGAGAACTACAGTGTAATATGCAGTACATGACCCAAGCATAAACAAAACAAAACATGCATGTCATCCCTCACCTTTCCATTCATATAAATATTTGATTATAGAGAAATAATTCTAACATGTCTGATAGAGGTCAGGGGTCAAAACAAACCATCAAATATACCATGCTATCTTGGGATGTCTCATCTTCAGAAAATTTGCTTCAAAATACTTACGACTGTTCAGTAATTAAATTATATTAATTTTTCTTATCCAGTGCAAAAACATGAAATGGAAACAGTTAGTATGATTATCTTTTCACTTAAATCATTATTTTTCATTGGATTTTCATAAGATCACCATTTCACTTAAAAAAAATTTGAACCAGAAGATATGTAATAAAGCAGTATTTATATGCATGTGGGCACTATTATAATACCACCTCCTCTGGCCAGAAACCATGTGACGGCTATGATTTCCTGATGAGAATTCTGACAGAACTATTTGTGTACTAGATGCACATTGGTGCTCACTCATGCTTTCATTGGAATGAAACTTGGGTTTCTGTGCCTGCATTTGCTATGTTTTTTTGTTTATCCAGTTACTTTTTTCAGTCTTAGTATGCCAGAGATGAAGGTTTCTCACATATGTTTACAGAGAGCTGAAAACAGCACTTGTTATGTTGTGTGAAAACAATCACAATGAAAGATTCCCTCATTACATGTTCACTCATAAAGAGATCTCTTATACAACTCATGGACTGACCTGTTTCGAAAATGCTTGACACCTTTTAATGTGGGTCTACCTTGAACACTGTGTGCATATTTTGTATGTGTTTTGAGTGTATTATACTAGACCATGCCCAAAAATAGGATTGTTTTTTTTCTTTTTTTTCGCTTAGTACGGATGATTAAGGTACTATTAAAATTAAGCCAATTTTACCAGACTTGTTTAAGTTGCGCTGTTCTTGCCCATTATAAACATACAAATTTTATCTTTCCTTTATTTATTTATCTACACCTATGCAAAGGAATTATAAATTTAGGAAATAATCGGTTTAAAAATAAGATAAAATATATAGATCTAACGGCTGAGTAATAAACCTTCCAAAGCCATGATGAGTTGTCCATACCTAGTACTAACGTACTAATGTACTAGCGTATATTATACACAGTATCTGTACTAATTTTTGTACCAAAAAGACTTCTCTTCTCCCCCCATAACACCATGCTATGTATGCTCATAAGTCAAAATGCTGTGCACATGTGTTGGGGACTTGACTGAGGTTTGCACCTGAACAACAACAACAACAAAAAAAAAGCTGAAATTTTAACATGAGCATTTCCTTTGGAAAGCTTCAGTGTGCAGAGTAATTAATCACCAGCCATACCCAAATCTAGAACTTTCCTGACTATGCATGCAATTTTAAGGCAAATTTGAGCCAATTTGTCCTACCTGTTGGCATTCCAGTGATGCTCTCATCTTTATGAACCAGCACAATTAATTGAGAACAGTCTTTTTCTTGAAATCTTGTCCTTTTTCCAAGGGCACCTAGTACAAAATAGAGGAAATGCTGAAGATTTTTTTCCTTGATCATCAGTTACAATCCACACAAATAAAAGAGTATAACTGTTGTATGTACCTGTTAGTTCAACTTGTAAACCTAACACAGACTGAGCAGCGCTGAAATGTTCCTGGGCAACATGCCATAAAGAAAAGAGAAAAACATGTGGAAACTAACTAAAAGACTGTTTTATTTGATTAACTAGTCTAACCTGTGTTTCTAAAAAATAAATTGGGTGTCCCCAATTACCTAGTGCCTACAGGCACTAGAACAACTAGACACGTTAATAAAGGTTATGTAACCATGTATACATGTAAATGAAAAGACACTCGGGATGTTTCCACTCACATTCACTGTCACAGTTGTTTAAATCAAGAAAATGCAAAATACAGATCTGTCCATTAGGTGGGTAAACAAAGATTTTACTTTCAAAACTTGTATTTTGCAGGTTTCCTATTTCCTCAATTATATCTCCCATAAATACTGTAAAAGCCCGCAGATAAGCCGCACCCTGAATTTAGCAGCTCAAATTTTGGAAATAAAGTTTTTTGAAAGAAATCCAAAGTCGAGTCTTGAGAAGTCTTCTTCATCCACTGTTCATCAATTGTAAACTTAACATTAATTAACATTGCAACGGAAAATACTTCAAAGTCTAAGCCACAATTTTAGCAATTCAATATTATAATAATGAACATCATTTCTACCAACTTTGACATAATTATGATTGGTCTTTTTCTGGTATTTGTTGACAGGAATTTCTTTATTCAACACAGTTTTTCCATACATTTTTCCATTACAACAAGAACGCAAGGAGAACATTTGAAGCTTAGAAACCAGGCATTAGATTGGACACGAAAATGAAAAACTGGACACCGGCGTCGATATTCAAGACACCTTTTTCAAATGTTCCTGCAGATAAGCTGCACCCCCAATTTCTAGCAATGATTTTTTGAAAAAAAGTGCTGCTTACCCCACCTGGTTAGCTCAATTGGTTATGGCGCCAGATTGTGTTGTGCGGGAGGTTGAGGGTTCGAGCCCCGGCCGGACCAATACTCATAGTCTTAAAATAACTGAGGAGAATTTGCTACCTTTCTATGATATCAAGAAATGGATAGATATTCTAGTCTTCTCGGATAAGGACGAATAAAACCATAGGTCCCGTCTCCTGCAGGGTTAGGGGTAGGAGACGTTAATTTCCCATGCACGAGATTACTATGTGGTGGATGTCCTCCCCGGGGTGGGATGGTGGGTACAAAGGGGTTAGGTGTCAATTGGGACGAAAGTTCTATTCCTTTCTCCTGCCATTCCCATGGCAAACAAATTAAATTCCTAAATTCCTTAAATGTGGGCTTTTACAGTATTGGGTTTGCTAACAGGATTCCATTGAATTTGGAAAAGTTTACATCAGTAAGGCTGGAAGACTTAAGCAAGACAGAATCAAGGAGCATGACAGAGACATCTACCTCCACCGAATGCAGATCTTTGTCATTTAAGACTAGCCTCGCAACACTAGAGACTGCCCTCTCTACTAAAGAAACCTGGTTTGCTCTCTATCCCATAATTCAGAGTTCATGTTGAAGAGGTTTGATTGTATAATGTTAAAATTCATATCCTGCTTAACTTCCCAAGCCTCCAGCATTACTCACTGGTAATTCTCCGTTTTTGATAATTTTTGCAATTTCATCTTTCAATTTAATTCAAGATCAAAGTTAAAAGATCTGTTCAATTGACCTTTGCCTAAAGAAACTGATCTACAAAAAAGTTCTCGATACCCTGGCTCTTTTGGTGTCATAGTAATAAAGATACAAGTATCCAAATTCCAGGTGGATCTGGCTTGCACTGCTCCTGAAGAAAAAAATGTGGAGATTTAAGTTGTTCATATAATGTATCACCAAGTTAGCTTACTTAAAAAAAAAAGCTTAAATGTATCCTGAGATATCTCAACTCAACATGGGAAACTGAACATCCACCTATGTCTAGGCAACATAAGATGCCAAAGCCTTGAGAGCTGCAGGTGTCGGCCCCAGCCTTGTTGCTGTTGTGTTAATGGGAAATACAATTCACTCTCACTGAACCTCTCTCCACCCAAGGCTATAAATGGGAAAAGGCTGCTTGTCAGGGAAACCTTAAAAAATGCCATGAATTAGCTGGTGTCCTTAAGTACAATGGGTTGGCATCCCATCCAGGGAAGGGAGGGAGGGGTGGGGGGGGAGTAATGATACCATTAGTCATTGCAACTGAAATTAGCTCTTACATGATGGAAAGCCGACAAGGGCTTGAGGCATAAGACAGCACATTTACTTAAAATTAATAACACTGTTACAGTATTATATAAAAACAACCAACTGAAGAAAGTTCTGAGTATCTTTTAAAACTTCTGAATCTATGCCACAATCACTTATGTTTACATACATGTATCTCAAATTAAAAGACACTGCATGAAGTTTGAATAAGACAGTACATTTACTTTATTAAACCTTAATTAACAGTTATATCTATTCAGCACCTGCTTTGTTCTTCAGAAAGTAAGGTTGAGCTCTCTTGAACTGCAAAAAAAAAAAAGAAAAGAAGCATATTTCATGACAGTCATAACACCAAAAAGTTCAGTAAATTATTGGCTTTTCACATTTCTTTTTTTGTTTTCTATGCAATTATTGTATACAGTATTGTTAATCCTATACACACACACACACACACACACACACACACACAC